AAATACAAAAGACATTAATTCACACTTGTTTGCTAAATAATCTGAACCACTACAATACGCCATGCTTGTTAAACTTAATTTTTTACAATACTCATCGTCAGAATAATATCAAATACAAGAAAATGATTTTATAATGACATTGTAAATTGTTGTCCAAATATATTCAACAAAAATAGTTTTCAACAATATTTAACGTTGGAAAAAACGCAATTATTGACAAAAATAACTTCATCGCCCTTTACATCCTCGCATTGTATCAAAATTAGAGTAATTGCACGTGTGTACTGGAGTTTTATTAAAGTTATAACATTTTATAATTTAATCGCGTATGAAATTTTAATTTCAAAGGGTGCAACCACATGAACATTAACTTTATATGATTTAATCGGTATGAAGCCCAATAATTGTTATAAAGCAAAGTTTTATGACTCCAGCAATTATGATAATTTTGCGCGGATACCTTTGTATGAAATGCTTTATTTTACGAGTTAAGGATTATATGTTTAATTGTAAAGCAACGGTAATAAGAAACAAAGACCACAAATTAAGGTTGCATTCTTTGTTTAAATTAAGGATCCAAGTACTTTTATTATGGCTTCAAATTGAGTTGATTGTAAATGTAAAACACACTCATTGGTCCGTTCTATCAGTGGTCCAAATAATAGTTCAAGGTCTAGAATCATATGTTTCTGTCAAGACTTTAGTCGACTTAATTTGTGCTCCAACGTTTAATAGCCTCCTATTTATCTAACGCCATAATTAAGCCAAATAAATATACCTACTACATATAGTATATATATGTATACTACGAATGACAATATTTGAGATATAAGAATAAGTAATGATCATATTTGATCAGTTAATGAACTTTATCTCCTTCTCTGTTATGTATCCTGAATGTTTTCTAATAAATTAGAAATTATAGTGTCAACTATTGATAAATACTTTATGTCATTTAGTAAGTAAAAAAATAGATAACAATAATATTACTTACATAAAATTTAAGAATACCATAGTTTTATTAATAGATCTTACTCGTAAAACGTTTAAGTTGTGAGAATAATAAATCAAGATTGAAACTGCTATGATCAAAAGTGTTCCATGGACGTCCGACTACCAAAAAAGGCTAAATACCTAGCAAATAGCAGAAATCATTTACGATAGATAGCCATATCGAGTGTTTATTGCGTGTGGTCCGGATATTTGTGGCACAAAAGGAAAATGCAATACATAAGACTTTAGTTTTTCTTAAAGGGTACTGACAAATTGCTATTTCATCAACTAACGGTAACATGATACTTAATGTAATGGTTTATGTCATATTTACTAGTAATTGAGAAATAAACGATTTGTTAAATAACTGAAATTATATTCAAAATGTGGTTTTGTAGTATTAAACAATATTGACGGTACTTAAATCGAATATTAAATTCAAATCACATAAGTAATCTATAGCATGTATTAGTGCATTATATATATCACTTCATGTAGCTGATGGTACTACTGAAATATTCAATGTTTCTCAGACAGTTGGTGCGTTTCTTAGAAGAATTTCTCAGAGTCGATCGACTGGAAGCTATACCAGTAAATATTGTCATCATATGCAAATGTATCGTTTGCACTAATAAATAAAGATCATGATGCGAAAACATACTGGTAGTACAGCAGACGTGGAATCAAGTGAGAAATTGCTCCGAGTAAGTACATTTTAGTTGAGATTTATTCATGACAAGCAGTGTACAGTGACCTCAGTGGACAATTGGCGAAGTCTGGACAATTGGTCATTAATTGTGTCTGTTTATAAAAGTGGAGCAGCCATGTTTGAACAACATGATAATGTGCATTTCGATACGCAATAGAATAATAATGTAACGGAGCAGTTATAAACAATTACAATCCTGCTAATATTTTTGGGAAAATGAATTATTATATAACGAAAATTGATGAGAATAACTACACTAGAACTAGATGATATACATATGTATTCGTTCCTATCTCCAAGCCGCTTTCTTTACTAGCAGTGTTCTAATTTAGAGCAAAATATACTAGTAAAATTACTTGGTACCATAGAATACGCCTTGTTTTCTTCCTACAAACCTTAGTCCTTAGAAATGACTATGCATCAGAAGTAAATTACAATTTCTGATTGTTATGACTGTTATGATTAAGCCTATCTAGAAGTTTATCAAAAACTACTAAATAGATTTCAAATTAAAATTCCAATCGTATAAAAAATTTCGTCCATCGCAAAATCTCGTCAAGTTTACATCTATGTGTACCAGCGTAGATAACAGTCCAAAATTTTTGGAACCGAACAAATATTGAGACGGAAATTGTTATTATACTAATGATTTGACCGTGCATACATACTGAATGTTATCTCAACAAATCAAACAAAGGACAAAGCTTAAACCGTTAATGTTTTCAACGGAACTGCGTACTTGGAACATTGTTATGGATTGGCAGAATATAGTGTTACAGACCTTGTATTTTTAGAAACGGCAAAGTATTATGTCTTGTTTTCACGAATTGCTTTTAATTAAACTGCAAGACACGTGATAAAATACATAGCATTGTCTTTAAACATGACCACTGCTTATAGACATTACCGGAAATATAGTGACGTCCTCATGATCTCTCATGCGTTGCTTTAAAATTCCTGAGATCATCATAGTACTATGGTCTCACTTTAGTAATTTTACTAACATATGTCGCCCCTAAAATACAGAATGCAAAGCGAAACACTTGGCGGCAAAAGTATTCTTCTGTAACTACCTTGAAATATTATCTCAAATTTTATCATATATTATTAGTCTGCCAGAAACCTTTAATAACCCAGGCGACATCACCATTCCATTATCATAAAAAAATACATAATGATAACTATACATTGAAATGCTACTTAGTAAATTTTAGGTCTAATATTGTTATTGGCACAGAACTGGGCTAAAAGCTAATGTTAGTCATTTAATATACACGCATAGAATACAGGCACTTCATAAACATTAAGGAAAATAATAGTTTTGTAGGATTTGGTAGAAACCAATAAGTTTATGTCATTGTAATTAATTTAATAAAACCACATAATATTACTGTTGCACTCTATAAAGAATTTATATTTGTTTATAGAGTGCAACAGTAATTCCACATTTTATATTACAACATATTATTTTCGCAGTTTTATTTTTTAATTAAAAATTAATATCTGTTATAAGTCTCAAGTCGCTTTAACCCCGGCAAATGTAGAAACCTGCGTTTTTTATTGAATTCTCTAATAAAATACTGACGTTACATAAATAGTTTTAGTTTCATTATACAGTATAATAACACCCTTATTTCGTCACAACTTTTGTAACAAATATATTGTCTGAGGTGTACTAGACCTCAGACAAATTTTCAAGCAAGCAATTATTCAAGCTTCAATAGGTATTATAAAAACTTAACACCGCGTTGTATTCTAGATTTTTCATCATACAACAAAAATAATCCTATCCTCGACCTTTACTTCTTCTTTCTCACGCGGAATATGACTAATTTGATTAACCGAAGCATTACCTACGGTACATGTACCGAAACATGCATACAAATAGTCTATTCTATCACAACTTTCCCTAAAAATGGTTACCTCAGACAAACGGCTCCTTTCTCTAAGCAAAACAGAATAAAATAACAGTGTTATAGCATCAATATTCAAAAGTCCCAACGTAGTCCCGAGCACAGAAATCGTGGTCGAATGCATCGAATACTAATACAGACATTGTCAATTTGTATTCAACTAGTTTGGTTTAGGCGAACACGTCGTGCTGGGTACGAAAGGAATTAAACTCTTGTTTTATCTAACATCTAAACCTATTTTCTGATGTTCATTAGCATATATCGAGTATGTAGTATTTTATAATTAAACTACACTTTGAAGTTTAAAGTTTTTATTTATGAAATTATTAACTGGCAACATTTGTTCAGAACCGCTACATCTTGTGTATTTTCTTATCATTACAGCAGCTTCTGGCATAAGTCGTTTGTGATGCAGAGCTGGGCATAAAATTCTTCTGGATAGCTGTTTCAGTTTTATATTGATATCTAGTAGACATCATTAGTAGCCAGTCTACTATCTATCTAACTAACTAACCAAATTCATATAATCAACTTAGATATGCTCATATGTTGAATTTCTAATTGTAAAAGGAATATGGATATAAATAATAGATTAGCAAACGCCCTAATTACAAATAAAGCAAAGCAAAATTTTGTGTCTAATAGTGATAAAAATAAATGATTTACATTAATTCAAAATCATTCGATATTCTATAACAACAAAGCAATGTTGCTATTGTGTTACTTTATTAAATCCGTGATAAACTTGACTAAAAGCGAAAGATACTAGATATTATTCTTAAATTTATAGTTTGGTACAGTTTCATCTACTAATAAGGTTACTACAAACTATCTACGAAATAGGTGTACTAATTGCAATACAGTAAGCAATGGCTCTAATTGAGCCATTGCTTACATTTGAGCGCACAATATCCAGGTGGATGAATATTGTCATATAAAGAGATTAATACCCAGTATAAACTGGCAAACAGAAAGTAACATGACTACTCAAAGGAACTTAACAAAATTCTAAGAAGGTACCTACATTTACTATTTCATAGAAATTATTCTTAAATGGTAGAATTACATGCAATATAGGGGAAATATGATACAACGTCGTAATGCAACGATCTCAAGTTGCACGTCGCAGTTTAGCATCAATAAATGTGGTATAATTAAAAAACATTAAAAAAATGCGATGCGTTGACTTCACTCCAGTTTTTTAAACGACTTGTTTCACAAGTCTACACTGTGAGAACCGAGATATAAACCAACCAATTGCAATACGACGCCGTAACATGCGAAGCTTTCGTACACACAGTACTTTTTCCCGCGGCCGTTTTATCTGGCGAGCCGCGCTTTCATAAGCTCTGCCACTGTTTAAAAGTACGGAAACTGTCACTAACCTTCAACACCTTGGATCCAGGCTGCTAATGTCGACACCAGAACAGCAAAGGATAGCAATTTAATCCCATAATCCGGTATAAAGTTTCTCGACCACATTTTGTAGCACAACATTCACACATGGATCACACACATTTGTTTTACTTCTGCTGTCGTTTGACCACAAAATAATCAACACTCACGGAACTAAATGTAAGAACTGACACTTCATTTTGTTTTTGAACTGTTGTTACGTCGAAAACAATCCGTAATTTGTCATTTTAGCGGTAAAACACGGTTTGAAAATAACGTAAAGCCCGGTAGGAACATGCGCAGCCGCGTCCTGTTTGCATCTGACGGCTTTGTTCGTAAATACACAGCCTACGGTAAATCAAAATGGCGCCCGGTGCGCTTGTGTGCGTGTACGCGGCTTGTAACTACACTTAACTTATAATCTAAAGTGTTATAAAGTTTTTAGACACTATATATTGTTGTATTGAATATACCTAATAATTATTTAAGTTATGGAAATGCTGAACTACTGACAGAAAACCGTGAGAACACAGTCACGCACACATACAGAGGTACGCGAAGGAATGTTGATTCAATGGAGAAATCAAGCAATTCAACACTTCTCTGCGCTCGCAGCCAATCCAGAGCTTTTAAACTTTGTTATTTACTCTCCACATCATAGATGGCGCTGTACTGCTATTTTTATAGAAGGGTGGTTTTTGTAATAATTTTTTACGTAAATTTTTTTATGTCATAACTTATATAAAATATGGATATTTACTCAGATACTGCAATTAATATGCTTATTATAATATTGAAGAAATAATATATTAATGAATCGTTTATTAGTTATCAATACAACATTTTATCAATATTCCGGTTGCCATAGCATGTAGGTACCTTGTCTTTCGATGGCGAGTTGAACTTATTATTTAATAGTGAGACGATAATATTTAAACAATGGCCACTTGTTACCAAAAACATCCTTTCGAGATCGAGAACGAAGACCGCCTCACCACTATAAACACAAAAATATTTGAGATCAAGAAGAAAATACAATTGTCAGGTACGTAATATAGAGGGTTAGTCCTATAGGCAATATCATGCTAAAAGGGCGATGGCATTAATGAAATTGAATATCTTTCCCAAAGAATCAATGTGGAAAAATCTATATTTTTTAATGTTATTAGGATAGTAAATAAGCTATTAGTGTGACTGGATCAAGAACATAACAACCATTAATAAAAAACTGAATACTTGTATTGTGTGTATCCAAGAGAGATCACAAATAAGTCAAAAGATAAAAAAGAGGTATCAAAATAATACAATATTTATAAAAAGAACGATGGAGAAGCTGTTAGCAACAACTAGCATCATGTCATCCTTTGACGATCGTGATATCCATCATGCTTTGCCATTCTGAAAGAAAAAGACACTATATTACCTATATTTATATATCACGATGCTAACCAGTATACGGCCCATCTGATGGGAAACAGTGACTGTATCAAAAGGACGCCTGAAATATTTGGCGGCTAAAATAGGCGAGACTAAGTACCTAGACGACTTTTACCCCTCACATTAATCCCCCGTTCAATACAAACAGGGATCGAAATTACGACGGCCTGAGCCGAGATTCGAACCCCTAGCGTTGCCCTCAGACATAAGCCGTATCACTCAGGCGGGAGTTAGCCTTCAGTCGCTCTATGAGTCCTTCCGATGGTTGGGAGTGCCATCTGCACTCGCCTCTATCGTCCATCTGCGGCCAACAGCATTAGAGTAGTCCGAAAAAAAAACAATTTTTTAGAAAGTTTACTTCGGTAAAACTGCGATTACGTAATCAATTTATTACATTTTGTTTAAATGATTCAATAACACGGATTTCTGTAGTAAAAAGATTCTTTTAAATTACTTAAGTATTTATAGAGTAAATCTATTGCAAATAAATTTACTAAAAAAAATATTCATTAAAATATAAGAGAAGTATAAATAAAATTTAAACTTGCAGAAGGACAAAGAAAATCATGTTACGAAGAGAACGAACAAGAGAAACAACAAAACAATGACCTTATAGATACGCTAAAAAAAGAGATCAAACTGCGATTAAGCGAGTTGACTCAGGCTAAGCTAATTATTGGAGAAGAAGAGGTCCAGGTCAAGAAGTATTTAAATGAGATATGCCCGACAGGAAACAAAAGCAGTGATCAGGTATCTTTTTTTTATCGTGTGGACAAAATTTCGAAAGACCGCCCTCCTGCCAGTGAGTTGAAGAGTAGTGTGTAGGATTCTTACCCACTAAAAACACGGTTCCTACGAATGACATTGTTGGAGTCGTGAGGTAGCGTTTGCATAACTACCGCAGCTCCAGCGGCGTCGGCCTACGTCCCACCTTTGGATGGTTAGGGCAGGTATATTAAAACTTCTTAAGTTAAATCGAGGTAGACATAACATTTTGGTAGATATTTACATACAATGTCAGCTATGAGGGCACTTTGTAGCTCGAAATGTTTTTGTCATTGATGGACCTTAAGATATTGGCTATAAAATGCTCCATATTACAGATAATTCACAACTTAGACCTAAAAGTAATAGAACAGCGAAAATTGTTAGACCTACTGAAGTACGAGAAGCGTAGCAAAAAGAACAAACTGCGACAATTCGAGAAGGATTACGAGCACTTACTCATTGAGAGCACAAAAAGCGAACTTGTCAAATCTAAAACCAGCACCAAGGCTAGAAAGGTATGTTGTGTGATTTTATAATCTGTGGCGATGTTCGTTTGCGCGGGAAAATAAAAACGTTATATGTCAAACAATATTCAAACAGAGTATTCTTTTGTTTTATTGTATACAACTTAAATTAAAGTACCTGTAAGGTATTTCTGTGTTTTATTTCCAAACATTAGAACACGAATTAATGAATGATGACGTAGGTACATAATAACATTCTGATTACCTAACATAAAAATACTAAGATTAAAAGAAAATCTAAAGTAATCTATAAGGGCAATATTGAAAGTACCTAGGCGTCGTCAAAAACGATCTCATAACTTAATTATAAGTACATAACTTAGAAGTGTGTTTTGAATTTAAACAAAATACAGTTATATTGAATAGATAGTTCCGCGCATTTTACATTATCTGTGATGTTGCTTTGCGCGGGAAATAAATTCCCACTAGTTATTCACTTTTTGATTTCCTTCTACAATGTTCAAACAGAATGTTGTGTATTGTATTTTTGTTTATTTTTATTATTGTACAAAGTGCCAAAAAGTATCCAGCCGTGGTACAGCTATATTCGTTCAGTTCTTAAACCCAATAGAAACTGCGATGCCTATTTATTGGTTTCGTAATATTTAAAAATAAGTAATATAATGTTTACAGCATATGTCTCATTTGGAGAACGAAATCCACAAAGTAATCATTCAGTGGACCGAAGCGGAATTGGTCAAAAAGAAGTATTTCTCCATCAGGTATGAGAAAAATGCAAATTATCTTCTATACAAATAATAAAAATTTAACTAATTTCTCTTCTATGTCTAAAATATACTTTATCTACGTATAAATATACATAAATCTCAAAAATAGCTTAGTTGATTCGGAGTTCATTACAAGCTTCACTTAAAATTTTGTGTTTGTTTTTTTCCTAACAATTAATATCAGAACAATTTCACACAGCGCCATCTAGTCCCAATCTAATCGGGGCTTGTGTTATGGGAACTAGATAAATTATATAAATACATTACATTACATACATTTTTTTGTAAATACATACAAGAATAGGGTTATGACCTTAACGATCATTTGCTAACGATGTCATAAAAACAAGACTGAATTGTTTTAGATAACATTAGATGAATAAGCAGATAAGACGAATTTGCCTACAACAAAATCGATTATTTTAAAATTTCCACACAATTACCCATTTTTTTTTAATAATTGTTTCTTTCACATCCTTAATGCAAGACAAAGTTACGTGTTACCATTGTAACGTTTGTAGTAGGTAGTGTAATACCTAATGTTACGTATAATTTCAGACAAGCATTATTAGATGACTCGGTGAAGTTTGAAAGTTCATTAACTCGAATCGAAGAGGCGCTGAAGAAGCAAAACGAAGAAATTGCTAAGTTAGAAGTTAGTATTTATAATTAAACAAGGATAAGTATGTATTTTAAAGGACATGCTATCATAATATTACTAACATTACAATAATAGATAACAACTATAAAACGGGACACGCTATAAAATAACACACAATAAAAAATACTCATATCGATTCTTTGAACATAGGGATTCTTTGAAAATATAATATATTATTGTTCGAATAAAAAAAAAAATAAGGTAAAAAAATCTTACACGGCTTTCAAAATATTTTCACTTTAAAAAAATGCATTAATAGCGAATAACAGTAACTGTGCCGTGTAAGATTTTTACATCTTATTATTTTTATTTATTGGATAAAAAATATGAACAAAATATAATATGTAATCTTTTCTCCTTCTAATATTAATTTATAAAAATACTAGCTGTTACTATTTCGCGCAATCTTTCTTCCCCAATTCCACTTCCTTTAAAATTTTTATGATAAAATAAGCTAGTGATAATGAAATATGACACCTTGTGGTCTACATATGGTCTAAATATATAGAATATATCTACATAATATATAGAAACTATAATGTAAAATGTTATTAAAATCCATTCAACTGTTTAATCGTGAAAATGTAACAAACATTAACAATTTTATTTATAATATAATAGTGCAGACTAAAGAAATCTTAATAACCCAATGCTGTAGTCTCTCGAGAAAACCTCGGCATATAGTTCATTCTACAATCTAAGTGTACGAGGGACAAATCTCCTCTGAAACCACACTGTCTGAAACCACAGTTAGGTTACAACGTGAACGTCCAGAATTTGAATTTAAAAAAATGAGATGTTTATAGAAAATTCGAGAAGACGCCGCTGAGATGCGGGTACGGGCAACTGCGGCGGCTTCGGTGGAGGTGGCGCGCGCGCACGACGCTGAACATGAGCGCGCAGCAGAGAAGGCTTACTTCGCGCAGCGGTTCAGCGAGAGGAAGCGGGAGTTAGAGAGGCTGGAGAAGAGGATCTTCCCACCTCAAGGTAAATAAAAAAACTGTCTCACATTTTTTTTATTCACATATGCAATGCGCATATATTGGTACCTAAATTAAGAATACCTTAATTATTCCCTTATAAAAAAAATCTAAATCTTAAGTTTTTAGCTTCAAATGTTTAAACCTTGTTCTATTTGAAGATTTATAATGGCAAACGTATATTCTCCCTTAAAAACATCATCGAATTTGAAAGGAAAATCCTCTAAAATTGAAATAAACGCCGTCAAATATTCTGGAAATTAACTAATACTACTACTAGAAACAAGCAGTCTAATTAAAGAAGATTATCCTCTTTTAAATACATTGAAAATACTTCATTAGTATATGATTGGTATTCAACAGCTCGGGTGGTGCGCCAGGAGTCGGTTGGGTCTACCGAGGGCGAGGTGGTCACAGAAGAGGCTACAGCGGCCGCCCAAATGGAAGCAATATTCCAGAGGCTCATGAAACTAACTGGCAAGTCATTTTATACGAATTTTATTTAGAGAAACTACACTCTGTTTATTCTTCATGGCATTTTCATTACAGTGGTAGGATAGCCACTACAATTTTCTGAAATCACACTGAGGAATGTGAAGATTTCCTAAATAACAAAACTGTAATAGATTTTTACAACGTTATTTTATTTTTCTATACTCTTGTATGCATAAAGATGCTAATATAGTTTAAGTCACTCGGTTGGTTGTTATAAAAGTACTAAATATTTGGTCAAGAATATTTGTTTCTTGTTAGCACTCATGAAACATTTCGTCTATAAATGAGAAATGCATGCTCAAATTCAGCTGATACTGTTTGGCTATCATTAAAATATACACATCACCTATAATCATAAACTTTGCTATGTCCATTTCAAAATACAAATAGTTCAAACTTCTTATTTTTCGTCACTCATATTTCAAGCATTCAATAAAGACATTGTTAGAAACTGACATTAATATTGTACACTGTCCTATATTATCCTATTCTGTCCTTACCGCCAAGTGAGCCTGAGCATAAATATTATAATTTATCTAAAAATTACGTTTTTTCTGAAGCTTTCGTTTCAAACGCCAACGACAACCGGGGGGTAGGGGATTGTTAGTAATGTTTCACAGGCGGGGGGTAGGGGATTGTTAGTAATGTGGACTCATGACCCCATTACTATCAATGTACCATGTCAGGTTGACCTCCACGCGATTCCCCTGGAAACCATCGTGATAAAATTCTGGTAAATATGTCACGATGGGTTAACTGACGTGACCTCATGTTCATCTTATCATCCTCCACTGGTGTCCCGCTAGCATAAACCGTTAGCGCAGGCGGGTGCACCATACCATTATCATCCATAAAAAAAATCTTTCACAGGAGTATTCATATACATGGGGAATATACCGGTTGAAATATATCGACTGTCCATTACTATAAAGCTATATTATCCTTACAGGTGTTAACGATGCCGAGGAAGTCTTCGAGAGATTTCAAGCGCAGCGCGAAACATGCAAGCGTCTTAACTATTTGCAGCAAACTACCGAAGAGGAAAAACTCGAGCTGGAAAGCACCCAAACATCACTCATGGCTGAATTAGAAGCGTTTAAGTTTGCATCCGTCAAGGATAAGGATGAGTAATTGACTTTTATCTCTTTATTCATAGACTAAATAAATAAATAAACCTTGGATAATAACCCTCGACAATTAAGACAGCGCTATCTAGTCCCACGGTAAACGGAGCTTGTGTTATAGGTACTAGACAATTAATATAAATACTTAGACTTTTTGTACATAATATACATAGAAAACACCCAGACCCATAAAAACAATTATACTCATGAACACAAATGTTTGCACCGTGCGAATGCGTGCCTAATGAGAGTTAACATGATTGAGTATCTTGTGTTTCTAATCAGTATACTTAAGATGTGTTAAGATTTGAACCAGCCGTTAAATTAACTGGATATTATTAATACTAGGTATATCAAAGATTGTTTCGTATTTGCTCGTTGCCAATTTCGTGTATGTTTTTAATACGACTGCAGATCTTTTATTAATATGACTACAAATCATTACATAGTATAAAATAAAATCGCTGTCGCTGTCTGTACGTACCTATGTATGCTTAAATCTAAACTACGCAATGGATTTTGAAGCGGTTTTTTTAATAGATAGAGTGATTCAAGAGGAAGGTTTATATATATATATATATATAATACATGTACACCCGTGCCAAGCCGGGGCGAGTAGCTAGTTTATGTATAAATTAAATAAGTATAATCGTGTTTCAGAGGACAGGAGCAAATAAGTGAACTAAAAGAAGAAATTGTAAAAGAAAACGAAACGTACGCAGAAATAGAGAAGCAGCACGATGATGTTAATAAATTGTTAATGGAAATAAAAAGATTGCTTTACGATCTGTGCAAACTTCTGGATGTAAGTAGCTACATACCTATATGGTCCACAAGTCCAATAAGGTCCATGACGTCGAACTGTTTTATATTTTAAGAAGCGGTACATGAATTCTTTTTTTAAAATGTCTACCAAATTTATTTTTAAAACGCCTACAATAGATCCTTAAATATTTAGCCAATAAAGAAATGATATATCGAAATATATTCTGTACAAATTAATCTGTATAAGCACCTCTGTTCTACATATTTTGCCATTGCAACTTGCCATGTAATTTGTATTTTGGTTGAAGTATTAGATTTAGCAGATAAATTGCAGTAATAAATTATTATTATATAATATCCCCAGCCAAATTACACAGCGCCATCTAGTCCCAAACTAAGCAGAGCTTGTGTTACAGGTACTAGACAACTGATACTTAAATTTACCGATACAAACAATTGTAGTTATGTATGCTATTTTTGCCATGTGCGAAGGATCGCATCTGCGACCATCTAAAGAAAAGCTGTGTCATATCGCTAGACCACCGTTGACAACCGTTGACAGGCTGTATTACGTAAACTCAAATAGGTGCAGGCTACTGAAGAAGGCTTCATTAGTAGATTCACAGTAGCTCAGGTGGTCTAATCTTGGTGGTTGGTAATACATGCAGGGTTCCAAGGTCATAAGGTCATAGGATGGCTAAATACCTTTAATACTGTTCAAGTATATAGGCGATGGTTGCCACTTACCACCAGGGCTGGCATTTTTGCTGTTTCAGCTTTTAAAAAAAATTAAAAGGATTAAAACTATCTAGGTCATACCAGATCCAACAATACCCGAATGGACAGCAGAAGCCCGCGATGTACAAGAAATAATCTCGGTGCTGAATACTCGATATGAAAAAGCAAGGGCACGAGCAGAAGAAATTCGAAATAAACAAGGCGATGCGACCATTATTACGATACCTTCCAATGTGAGTATTTATTTCTTCGTCTGATTAAATATTATATTCGACAAACTAGCTGACCCTGGCAACTTTGTCTGCATCACACTTACCTAAAATTTATCATTACATTTCGCCCAATTTACTATAATTTCGTTTTTAAATTATAGCCTAAGTGTTATTCTGATGCATAAACTTCATCAAAATCCGTTCAGTAGTTTTTGCGTGAAAGTGTAACAAACATCCACTCATCCGTCCATACTCAGAAACTATTGCGTTTATAATATTTGTAAGATTATATATTTTTTAAGATATAATATTCTTCCAATTTATTATTTTAAGCAGAAATTATTACGATATCAGGTACAAGGTAAATAGCTATGGAAGCTTGTCACCTTAGTTCTTAAGAATGACAACGATTGGGAATATTATGGAAATCACATGACGTAATTTCTGACTACGACGAAATAGAAATAATCTTTCTTCAAATAAACTCAATATAAGTTTTCGATAGTCATATTTTTTTACTCTTCAACTCATTCGAATTATAGACTTGTAAAAAGGAGCAAGGAACTAGCGTGTTGCTCTTTTAAGGGTATTGTGTGAATACAAATTGCCAAATAACTGAGCTAATAAATTCTAACTTGAGTAAATAAATCAGTAACATTTTACAGAACAGAACAGTCCTTACAAGCCCACCCGTTCAGGATTATAACGCTTGCGCCAGCCATCACTATACTTAATATATTTTAGGGACCCAAATGTCCCGTCCCATCACACCACCGCTTATCTGGACATTCGTGTAATCATGACTGACAGTTTTTTCTACTTTCCGTCAAATGGATCATCAAGTTGTTTAACATTCTAGGTTGAAAAATTTGAATCTATTGATGATATAAGATGTTTTTAGCCTGCAAGCCGTCCCTCATCGGTGGCTGGAGTGAGCGTCCACAGTCAAAGCACACACAAGGAGTCTGAACGAGTGACGGCAGTGCCTACGTACAAGGAGCTGGTACAGAAAGAGCCAGTTAAAGGAGGACGTAAGAAATTAGAATTATGATTACCAAATTACATTAAATTAATGCTTTACCTAATCTTCTATGTAATTAATCGAAAAAAAATTCAATAACTCCAATCGAAACAGTTAACTATACTTGAAACATGTGTTATGTAATTTATTTTGTCCTATAACAAATGAAATCTTTACCAAAAGTATCTGAGGGTCCCATGGATAAATTTTTTTTTGTTATTACATCTTCACGCCAAGTGCCTAATATCGTAAGCATAGAGTACCAAGTATAATGTAATAAATTGTTGCTGTTTTTGGAACTACTATTCCTAGCTTTGAATTTATTAATCCAGATTCTAAAAGACAGTTACGTTTATAATACTACACAACTTTTACCAAATCATTTACTTACATGCCCAATTTTTCCACAGAATCCGATGAAGAAGAAGACATACCATCCAGGTGTTACCTGAAACGGCAGGCGCAGTTGATAGTAGACACAAAGTGCAGGAGGAAAGGGTTCAGAGCTTTCCCAAGGAAATAAAGACTGCACTATGAAATTCCATCAACTATTAGTTACTCACAAAACAGGCCCCCAATAAAAAAATAATTAACACAATAATATTTTATTTATTGTTGACATGCTTTTAACTGATGTTGATAATGCATCCATTATTATACTTGTTATTAAAGACCATCAGAATGACAGATTTTAATAATGTGACACTTTATTATGGCTATCCATAAGAAATCTGAATTGTACCTTAGCATTGAGCTATGGGTTTATGGGTTTCGTTTGAAGGAACTACAGATTCTATTGCGTGAAAGATTCTAACTGCAAATAAATATTACAAACTTATAAAAAAATTGTATAATAAAATGAACAAAATTGGTACAAACATCACTAAAATTTTGTATAATTAGACCTTTACCATTCATCACAAATATAAACAATGAGTGGTCTAACGGCAACGGCGGCGCCTGCGTCGTCGACGACGGCAGCTACGACGGCGACGACGGCGACTTCGACTACGACGGCGACGTCGTCTGCCACTACGACGGCGGCGCTTACGACGTCCACACGAACGACGTCGCCTGCGTCCACAACAAGCATCCGACGGCTCGCCCGTTCCCGACCGAGACAGCGATCTCTTACGCATACCATCTCCACCGCGGGCTTTCCTACGCTCGTCTGCCTCACCTAGCTGTTCAGTGTTCTCCACGTTCTTATCTTTTGATTCAGGCTCGATCTTCTTCCTACTACCAGATGTCATTCTCTTCTTGCGAACGGCATACTCAGAGTGTCGCCGCGCGGCCGATGCTCTCCGTCGCTTCTGCTGCAACGTAACGTAGGTCTTCAGACGAGCAGAATAACGGGGCGCGTCCGTCTCGCTCCGTTTCCCCAGAAACACGACTACGTCATCATTGATCTTTTTCTTCTTATCCTCGTCCGTCTCCATACCGTCGCTGCTTGCGCTCACCATTCGTTCATAGCCGTCAGCAATCACGGAAAATTTTGTATTACAAAAAAAATATATCACAAAATTGCTCCCGACATAACAAGAATTTCTTTGTTTTTGAGAAAAGTAATATCTGTCAAGTCTGTAGATATTCTATCGGCCAGTTTAAATTACTTTCAAAAGTTTGGAAGAACCAATATATCTTACATAATTTTATTGTAGATAGAGTATTTGTTATTTATCTGTAAATTGTATATTTACCGACACAAAAGAGTTCCAATAATTTGTAAAAAGTAAACATGTCAAAAATTATCTCTAGTCACAATATTACAGAATATATAATTATTTATTTACAAAATAACTGAAATAATCATGTTTTGTCCCCATAAAAATTCTTATTTGCAACTTGTATGCGCTATGAATCCCAGAGTAATTAACAAGGCTGTAGACCATGCTATGGAAAGAGCTCACTTCGATCCTCATACAGGTAAATAAATACGAATTAATCAAAAATATAGAGTTAGCGAGTTCAAAATTATCATTATTTTATACCTGACATGCCTACTACAATATAATGAGTATATACAGTACATATACATAGCCGGCCTCGGTGGTTTAGCACACCACCTTATTTCAAATGGCCGCAGGTTTGATTCGCACTACGCAAACATTTCTTTTTATGTGTTTCTCTGCCTAGCCTTTTCCCACTTCATTTCCCAAATTTTCACAACCAAGAAAAAACGTTAAGTTTTCTAGTGCACACATAACTCAAGCTCTGCTTTGTTTATCTAGACGGCGTTGTGTGAAATATTGTTATTATGATTATTTCAGTTTATTATATTGCTGAACATTCCTTCTACATACTGTCATAAAAAACGGTACTTACACCCATCCACTGACACATTTGAGGTCATTTCTCAATCTACCTTTCGCCCTACACTGGAATTGCTCTAATTTGGGATAGGACTCGAGAACCTTAAATTTCTTCATTAAATTTGCTCATCGAGAGTTTATCTTGTTTACCACAAAACAAGACAAACTCTCGACGTTATATTGTGTAACACCAAAGTTTATCATACCTCAGTTCTTTAAGCTGTATAAAATGTTTTACAGAGTTGCCACCTGCTCAAAGATTAGAATCTATGCAACCTTCACTGTACGCTCCGCATGTGGATATAACGAGAGCTCAACTCGGCTTTGGGAGGATTGGCCTCAGACTTCTAAATCGAGCGTTACATTCGACGGATAACTTAGAGCAGTTGCAGGCATTGCATAGTGTGCTCGATCAGGTATTTTTTAAAATATCTCTATGAAATTCTTAAAGTAATAGAAAATTTAAATGACAAAATTTTCCCGAGAGATAGCAATAAGCTCGGTTCCGCTGAATTCAAATAATTGTTTGTGTAAAATCAAGTTACTTCCTAGTCCCAAATTAAAAATCCATGAAAAATTGATTGAATTCTACTTGCTTCGTCAAACTACAATTTTTTCTATTAAAATTGTATGAAGTTCTGAAATTATATTATACTTTATTAGGTTAGACTGAATAAGGAAACCGAATCTTGCATGAAGTTGGTAGTACAAAACACATACAGCAAATAGTTCAGATTATACGTTTAATTGTAGATTGTAGATGTCGTATATCGTCGGGTTTGTAATTTAAATTGACACCAAGAGTTATTAATCAAGTACATAATTAGTTTGAAAACGATGGTCCATTGGTAATATTTCGTACTATTCTTCTGCAGGTACAAATATCAGAAAACGCAATGTTTCTTATCGACTTGCAGCTTGTATACCGACTAATAGACTTGATGTTAGATCGCGATCCGATTATTAAAGAAAAGGTTTGCCTCATACTTACCAGTCTAGCGACTTACTACCAAGGTAGGAAACGCATTATGTCAAGACCAGTCATCATTGAAAACCTCATGCGGCTTATAATGAGAGACCGCAAGGAAATACGATACGCAGCATCGTACACGCTGAAGACGTTAGCAAGAGATAGATGCGCCTGTGAGGTGATAATGCAAAATGAACAAATTATTGAAAATCTTCTCAAAATGGTCAAGAGCGATCACACAGGGATCGTACTTTTGCATCTGGCAACATTGATAAACCTCGTCGAATGGGACCCAGTTAGAGCCTTGAAGGCCAATGCCTTCCAAGTCATGCTAAGTTTGTTCGAGAATAGAGATCCACGGATTGTAAGCAAGGCTATGGACTGCATGTCACAGCTGTGCAAACACGACGTTGGCAAAATTCTAGCAGACGATTATGACCTGACATTTGTTTTGCGTCGTTTTATAAAATCTCCTCATATCGAAGTGGTTATTAGCGCAGTTGGTCTAATGGAATATACCACACTGACCACACGATCGAAGTGGCGAGCTAAAGAAGCTTGCAACGAGTTAACAAGTCGCTTGGTACATTTATGTTGCACACACAACAAGCCTTTGCTGCAAATGCGATGTATGCAAGTATTGATCAATCTTTGCGACTCCCCAGACATTAGAAATCACATGAAGTTCTATTGGGAGAAAAAGGTGAAGACGATAAAGATCAGGACCCACGAAGAGTGGGATGGAACTTCGGAGACGTCGAGTTATGGACTAGAAACAGCACACAATTACAGAACGATGTGTATAGAAAAGGTTGAAACGATAAAGAATGATTATGGAGATAATGCTGAGGTTGTCAACGTGCACAGTTATTTGCGAACAGTTCTAGAAATAAAAGAACGTTTACTTCGTGCAATCAATTGGAAACCTTATAAAAATTAAATAAAAACACCACAAAAGTGGAAAAAAATTCAATATTTGTCGTGTATATGATCTACGTTTTTCAGAACGTAACTATATGTCATGTATAAATGAGGCACTGTGCACATATTATTCTTGATTTTTGATTAACTGCTTTCCTATTCTGTTCGCCTGGTACTACTGGATGGAAAGTGAGAAAAACCAAACCGAAATATTGGAAGTTCTGTGCCAAAACTTTGTTAATAGTATTTTTTATGAATAGTATTTATTTATGTGGAACATTTTAATCAAACAATGATAATGTATATTTATGCGTTTATTAGTTTAAAATTGTTGAAACAAAAATACATTATAATACACTAGTTGAGCTACGTTTTGTTTCATTAAATACATTTTTGTGCGTCCTATGGCGGATTTATAGCAACTTCAGTCGTTACTGCACGCAGATGTCACAATTATAGAATATCAACAAAAGGCCCTTCACACATTATGATACTTACACATTTTGTTACGTATATTCTACATATCTGGTACTAATTGTTAGTTTTTCTATTAGTGTAACGGGCTATCTCTACATTAAGTCATATGTTATCGAAGAATGGTTGACAATATGTGATATTGTACATATAACGGGGACATTATATATGGTGTTAGAGGACTCACAATGGTGAAATTTAGTAGAAGGTCCACGAAATTATGATAATAAAAATGTGATCAACTCTTAAGGTATGGGGAAAGGTGCTAAAATTACTACAATTCGAGGGATATAACTTATGGATTGCTTATTACGACTAGTGAATGACCAACAAATAGTACCCATTACTAGATGTTACGAATTTCATAAGGTGTGAACAGATATTCTTGCATTTCTAATACAATATTCTTAGTTACAGCCGTTCCAATATCATTTACTTATGCTTAACACAGTTCTAGAAGTCTGTTACAATTTTGCCGATAAAAATCTTATAATTATTTGCATTGCATTACTTGCATCATTTATCAGTATTTTACATGTTTAAATATCTAAAAGTGCATTATTTTGAATAGGTACATTCATATTTATAGTTATATATACATCCAAAACTTTATAAGTACAGGTAAAATCAGAATAAGTATGTTTATTATATAGAAGAACAATATTTGAGCCCGTTGAAGACATTGACGAAATACTGTTTCTAAAAATAGTAATAAATCAGACGAAAATGGATACAAAACACCGTAAAATTTGACTTTATTTCTCCATATAACATTACAAAATATAGATCTAATATTACAATACAAAATATATAAGAGCAGTAAAACCTTTGCTAGGTGATGCAGTAAGAATACAACATGTCATAATATCACCACCAGGATATTAAAGCCGTCAAGAGGTAAATACTTCAGGATAAGATATGGAAAACTGGGAGTAACGCCTTATGTCATACATACTGCCGACTGGCTATTATGTTAACAGTAGGTTAAAATCGTTTTATAGAATTATTCTTTGTTTGATGATGTTTCTTTTGAACCCAAACCTTACAAACATATGTCACAATATGGGAAAGGAAAGTTATAACGCTTCCAGTAGCGGTGGTCAGGTAATAAATATTCATATTGTCACACATGCTAATGGTAGCGGACTTATACAAAATAAATCCATAAAGTAACGAAAAGGACTTCTGCAAAATAAAACTTATTTATTGATTAAGACTATTGTATATCTATGTTGCAAAATGAACATTATCACTATGTCTACACCCTCCATTTATTACCTAACAAAATATCGCATAAAATTTTATTATAACTACAATTCGACTTAGTAATCTTAAATTTACTTTTAACTACTTATATAGATTTAACATTTTCTCAATTTATAATTTTCTACATGACAGCTCTTTATTTATTTATCTCAAATAGTATGACGCATTAAATTTTTTTACAGTTATACAAAATATACTGTTTACATTTACATATATTACAGCTATACTTTAATCGACTAATAACATACAATTTCACTAATAAAATCACAGGATACTTTGGAATTAGTCTAATTAATATTATTATATACGTACTGAGTGCAAATGAGATACTAAATATTAATGCTAAATCGATTATTTGATTAAAAAATAGACTTAGACATTTCTTCCCGTCGTCAAGCAGGTCGCTTTGTACGCTTAAACTCGTTGCGTATAAAAATACTGGGTACAGTGAGACAATATCTCAATCCTCGGGAAGAGCATCATGAGGTTACAAAGGTATAATAATATCTTTAATAATATTCATAGTTGAATTATGGATATAAACTGTTTCCACTTGGCATCAGGTGGTTCTATTGCTTTGGAATTCCATTATTAAGTCACTGCCATCTCATTTTACAGCATTATAATATACAGTCAGTTATTAAAAGGAGATTTAATAATCTAACAATCTTAATTCAGGGCAACTAACCTTAATTATGAAGAATCAATGACTAATATTGCGCTATCCATAAGAAATTATTTACATATTGTCTTTGGAGTATATTTTAGTTCCTAGTAAGAGTATATGTTTTAAAAAATATACGAGTCACGTAATTCGATCATATCATTGGATATATTTTTATAAACTCTATATCGTACACTATTTATTTAATTTATTTTTATAAAGTCTATTTATTTTTCTCATACTTGCGCTGAAATAATACATAGTATATAATTAATTAGTTATCTATTTATTATGTATCTATATTATTAACTACCTCAGCCTGCAACTTTTTTTATTTGTAAACCAATTGCAATAACAAACATTAATTATTAACTATAATATTTGTAAAATTTAGCAAATACACTAAAACTAGTTCTATTTATTTTTTCTCATACTTGCGCTGGAATAATACATAGTTTATAATTAATCAGTTACCTAGTTATTACCTACGTATATTATTAACTAGCTCAGCCCGCAACTTCGTACCAGTAATTAATTTATTTGTAAATCCATTCGATTAACAAACACTATTTGTTAACTATGATGCTTTGCATAATTTATTTATAAAGAACATTAAAACTAATTCTATTTATTTTTCCTCATACTTATACTGGAATAATACATAGTTTACAATTAATTAGTTAGCTATTTATTACAGACCTATAAAAAAATTTATGAACTGCCAGTGTAAGTAAATTAAGTGCATTTCTTAGTAGTTATTATTTGTACCGGATGACTTTATTTACCGTGCAGAATAAAATATGGCGTAATAGGTACATGAAGTTTTATTTTAATAACGAAAAACAATTTCATTATATCCACACTATGTATAACGAACCGAGCAGCCTAAATCATTGAAAATTAAAATTAAGAACGTATTTGTAACAGACACGACCCATTGGCTTTGCGGAAAGACATTGCACTGTACATTGCCTAGCTAGCGCATATATCACGGAGTATTCTACAGGTATTGTTCTGATTAATACCAGTTGCTAAATTCCACCATCGCACTACCCGCCAGAAACTAAAATGCCATCCTGATCATCTGGATGAATAGTGGTCCTCTACCATGCGCATGCCAGAAACTTTTTGCTACGCACAACGACATTGTCGAATCACCTATGAATAAAAGTATTTCCGAATCATCATCAAGAAAAGAACTGATTCCTTCTTATGGCCGGCAACACTAATCATAATAATCCATCCAATCACTAATATAACACGATCCTCTGATGTTGCTAGTACTCATACGGCGGCGATAACCACTTACCATCAGATTAACCGCAAGCTTTTTTTACCTCAGACGCTATAAAAAATATCGGCACGAATACACAATGTGAAGAGTGAAACACTATACTGTATTTTGAGAGAAAATTAAATGATTGTCATTGCATTTTGACTAAGTTTACTATTTCTACTTCATATTATAACGTTAATTTTCTCAGAATGGATAGTCAAATGATACAATATACATTTCCTAAAATTTAATACTAGTTTAAATAATAATATTCATTACATTAATAATTTTCAAGTCGTGTTATTTTTTTTTTTAATTTGACTCACGTTCACACTATTTACAAATAAACGCTTCAATAATATATTTGAATAGATACGATGGATGAAAACGGAATTGTCGTAACTTGAAAAACTCAACTTTAGACCAGAGCCAAAAACTGTTTCAAAAATTCATAACGGATATATTTATCGAGATGTAAGTTGAAAATTAACCATGGGTTTCACCCGTGTGAAATTTATGGCCTATATGTTATTCAAGCTATATTACTGTAAACTTTCATTAAAATCCGTTCAGTAGTTTTTACGTGAAAGAGTAACAAACGTCCATCCATACTCACAAAATTTCGCGCTTATAATATTAATGAGATATATTATTAATTTTTTAAATAATAAAAAAAAATTAAATTATTCTAAACGATTTTTGTTCAAGTTGGGTTTTTGAAGTTACGACAATTCGGCTTTCTTCTGTTGATACACATTTTTATATACTACAATTAATTACAAAAATTATTTACAAGGTTATTGCAATCGGTTTAAATGTGAATATTTACTTCACAATCTCAATTTATCACAACTACCATTTACTTATAATTACTAATATGGCATTTAGTCAAATGAGAAATTATTTACACATTGTCTTTAGAATAACCTTTAGTATCTAGTAAGAGGATCTAAATATATATTTAAATAAATCTACATAAACAATACAATTATTATGTACATTAATATATATTAGTAACTATGATGCTTTTCATAATTAAATTTAGAAATTACACTAAAATTAATCCTATATGTTTTCTTCTATTTTGCGCTGGTATAATACATAGTCTACAGAATAATACATATTCTACATTTAATTAGTTACCTAGTTATTACCTACTTATATTATTAACTAGCTCAGCCCGAAACTTCGAACCAATATAACTACTTTAGTTTTTTTTCCCCCTTTTATTTGTTTCACTGCCTATATTATTTCCTATTAGCATATTGCTTCAGCTGCGATTTGATACAGCAGAAGAAATCAATTGGAATCAAATAAACATACAATTTTAGATGAGCATACAGCGTATCACGATGCTTTAGAGTATAGCGCAACTAAATAGTTTTCTTCTTTTATTAATTTATTATAATTGTAGTTTATCTACGCATAGTCCTACTTTATATTGGTACGAGTGTGTGAAGCATTCATTACTTTTGAGAATGCCAAAATAAATCACCTATATAAGTAGCGTATTCAAAATCATTAGCTTATTGCATATTTAATACTACTTTAAGTAAAATACTTTTATAATAAAGTCTATATATATTTCAAATTGAGCAGTTTGATAGTAATATATTTGAATACACATTTTTAGACTAAATTATGATTATCATAGTTAATATTAACCATTTGTTTAGTCAACTTTGGCATAATTTTGACTTTACACTCTAATTGCTAATTTAAAAAAATATAAACCAATGAGTGATGATAACTAAGAACTCTCGAATCGGAACTTGTAGGAAACTAAAAAAAATCTTATTATCGTGGAATAAGGCCATTATGTACAGAGATCGATCACACAGAAATAAAAGACTAACATTATAACTTTGAATTTCAATAAGAAATTTTAATAATCGATATCACTAATTAACTCCATATCTTTCTTACTTATACAACGTATAAATGAGCCAGAATAAGTATCGTAAATGAATCTCCCACATTAAGAAGTAAAAACATTTCGAGTATGAGTTGGCCGTAGCTGGTCATTAGTTTCACCGGACGATAATGAGGGCGAGTGCAGAAGGCATTACAAATCTGCGGAAGAACTTATGGAACATCTGAAAAACAGTCGTCCTGTCTGACGGATCCGTCAAATGACACTAATACATTAATACATGGATTTATTAATAAATCTACTTGCAATAGTTCTTCACGTTGTTTTAAAAACAAAATAAAATCATAACATCACTATATAAAAAAGATTACTGTATCAACTACATATATCAAGACAAAATTCTCTTTCATTAATAAGAAAGGAGTGCGCTATGGATAAGTCTCTATATTTAGTCAAATCTTAAAATTCCCATCAAATATTATAAAACTGGTGTTTTAATTAATCATTTTAATATAATTGCAAATATATGGAAGTTATCAGACTCAAATTCGTTAATACGTTCACAGTTAAAATGTATACAATCCTTGATAATGCACTTTAGTCGATCATTCTAGAATTATTATAAGAGATTACTTCATAAACAACTATCCACAATTACATTCCAAACGCTTTCATAGTCTAAGAGCTCACGACAGATTACCACGTGATGTCTAAAATTAAAATATCTGTCTATGTCAACGAATGATATCGTGCAAACGTGTCACTCACTGCTGCTGTCTCGCTCGTTGAGCACGTATTCATACAAAGCCTTGCACAGGTCGTGCAACGTTGCGTCTCACCTGCCTCCGCCACGTTTGTTCAGCGGGTCGTATAGCTCCGTCTCTGAGTCTATCTCGTCCTCAGACAGAGATAGCGAACCGCCTACTCGACGAGTGCGTAGACCCTCCTGAAATGGAGTGCAGTTTTAGACGGATAATTTTAGCTTTAATTATATAACACACAGTTTGTGTCCTTGACGTCTTTGGAGGTCTACCGGTTTTGCACACCGCTTTAGTACTAATGATCGCGGGTTCGATTCCTCGCACGGTACAAACATTTGTATTCATTAGTATGATTGTATCGGGTGTTTTCTATGTATATTATGTATGTATTTACAAATAAAATGTATTTAAGTATATTTATCAGTTGTTTAGTGCCCATACAACAAGCTCTGTTTAGTTTGGGACTAGATGGCGCTATGTGAATTCTTCAGTGATAGTATTATTAATGCAAGTACAAGTAATTCGTTTTAGGTTAGTAGTTTTAATTTAAAATTACTTTTTAGTTACTGAATTTCTTTATATTGTAGTCTTAATTCTTCTACAATTAGTGTGGTAAATAAATTAGTGTTCCATCTAACCAATATGGTAAATTACCATCGACACCATACCATAGATATCAGTAATAGCATTGATATAACATAATCTATAATTATAGATCAGCTATAATTAGTCATACAATAAGATAGATAATATATTGCTATATAAAAAAGGTCTCTTTAAAGGGTGTAAACTGCAAATGTTAATAAATTTTAATTAAATATTATTAGATAAATTATATGATTGTGTATTTAATTATAAACTATTTCATTTAAGCAAATGTAACACATACAATATAACATGTGATCGCAGCTTAGAAAGCCCCAGAGCAGATATAAAATAGAAAAATAGTTACTTATTACAAGTGAATTTGTGTATTAATTAAAAATCTATAATATAGTTAACAACAAAATTATATAAAAATAGATTCTATATATACTAACACGTGAACGTGCATACTTTGTAAGCACATCTACGAGTGAGAAGCTAGTGACCGAAGCACTACTTCTGTTTGAGATTTGATCAGTAATTTTACTTTTCAAATGAATACTTTAGTCTGAATAGTAAAATTACTGATAACGCAACAACGTAAGCAATTCATGGAAAACTTTCTGGTCCACCCTTCCATTCTGCTGTAAAATGTACATGTTACATACGAGTATGTACAATATATATTTACAACAAACACGAAATACTTTATTTACAAATATTAAACTCGTAAATTATAAAAAGATGTTCAAGACATCAAACAGATTCAGTGAATTAACTGTAACCCTTTATAAACTATTAAAAAACCCTATTAAAAGTGTTAATACTCTAGAAAATTGCTGAATAAAGCTGTATGACATTACTCCCAAATTGTTACACATAATAGTCAACTACGTATATTGCAAAGCACCTAATAGAATGAACGTTGAACAAGTGAAACTAGTACATAAAATAATACATAATTTTGCTGTGAGAGTTATATTAACAAGCCCCGAGACTACACAGTGCTCCCAAACATGAAAAAAAAATTTAAAAAAATATAGACCCTGTGCGAACTAAGGCGTGCAGCTGAATGTATGCCCACCAATTCCGTGTCACTGATCCAAGCCGCACCTTCCTCTATACTGGAAGACATCTGTATAACGAAGAAACCACCACCAATATATTACTAACTTAACACTAACCATTATACTGTACATATTCTAAATATTTTAACACATTGACGGACACTTGCTTCTATAGCCGTCGAAGCGAAGTTCTTTTTCTTTTTTTTTTATTTAAATACATTTTTCCACAGACATATTCGTGCGTGCCTTTTTTAATTTACTTTAATATTATAATATTTATTTAATTTCCACTTTTGTACCACTCCAGCCGAGATGTTACAATTTGCCTAACAGTGACACCGAGGCAGACCTTATCCGTCTGGCCCAGAACCACCGCTGGCCGGCCGGGTGAGTTGACAACATGCAGTGTCACCCATCTTTATTTGGAGGATTAGATTTACCAATATGCATATACAATTATATAAATCTTACACTACTACTAATTTCACAGTTTTCATTACATTGTGCAATGTAAGAATTCATAATGTAACAATACACATTATGAATTCTTACATTGCATATACAATTATATGAAATCTTATTTTAACATCGAAGCGAAGTTCAATATGTGGCATGACAGCAATAGTCGTCTAGAACGATTGTTTTTGGACACTGCAGCTATAGCAACAATGTTGCATTTACTGACATACAAGTAGAAGCCTAGTGTTATGTTTTGGATTCAAAATTATAGGTTGGATTTTGTTTTCCACCTACTACACGACTTGCAGCTTCAGTACACACATCTTTGCCAAGGGTGTAATGCGATCGTGTTTTCTCTTGAATTGTGTCAAAAAGATTTAAGCAGAAAAGGTAAAACAATACTTCTAATATTCTAAAAATGATAAAAACGTAGTGTTTTTTTTCGAACTTCACTTGTTCTTACTGTCCGTCAATGTGTTAAAAAATATACCTACACTTATTTATGTTAATAACATATTGATGTAACATTTACTTATTCACGAGAGCCGAGTCCCCGATCTTTTTGTCTGCTCGTAATAGTTATTTACATGTACCGCTATCTCCAGTCGACCCGTGATCACCAAACTATAATGTCGACATATCGCAAACTAATAACCAAGGCCAATATTCCATTTATTTTATATATACAATTGTAAACAACAGAATATTGTTCGCAACATAATTCTAACCAGGATCTATTACATGTGTCTATAACTTTGTTAAGTTAAAGAAGAACGAAACCAAAAGAATTTCAATTTACATTGTTATAACTACTCACAAAACATATTTAACCAAATACACCATTAGCTTACGGGTTATAATATTAATAATTTTATGGCAAATAATGGTATTTACCTCTCTCGACGTCGGACAATCTAATGACAGTAGTTGTACAAACTGCCGTCACCTATCAACATTGACATTCACTGTTACTTCAGTCAGTTCTTGACCACGGCTAGTGCAATATATCGAAATGTCGAGAGTTAAATACCTTTATTTGTCATAAAATTAGTCGTGTTAAAACCAGTTTAACTATATTAACAATCGTACTAAACACTAATAAGTATTACAAACTACAGTTCTTTGTACTATAAAATTGTCGACCCACCTCCAGTATTCCAGCGCTGGGCTCCGAGGCGTACCCTTCGAAGTGTCTCGGGTCCTCCTCGTAGTCTGACGAGGACGAGGAATCATCCACATCCCGACCAGTCCGCACCGAACACACCATTTGTGCGAGGTCGGTAAAAGTGTAACTGTGAACATGTATTAGATTTCGGTTCATAACTAAATTCTGATAACTTTATCTGTGGGACCATAACGAGTAGTACATCCTTCTCTATATCAAATGCTACATATATACCAAATTATCAACTCGCCCCGGCTTCGCGCGGGCCCAATATTTGTTTAACGTTTAAACTCTTTCACACTTTTTAGTAAGGCAGGTATGGCATTATAGGGAATTAACCTTAAAAGATAGACATATGTTGACGCTGACTTATGTTTCCGTTCTACATATTTTTTGCATAACTAACCGTTTACGCAGCGCACGCAGCAGAAGAACTTATGTATGTTTCTTTCCACTTTCCTCATTGCTGCTCCGCTCCTATCGGTCGTAGCTTGATGTTATATTGCCAACAATGAAGGCTAGTATTCAACAAAAATATGCAGACTCTAGCAAGCAGCTATTAAATAATTATACTGCAGGGCGTGGTGTGTGGCGCATGTATAATGTTAGTAAGGTACTGACTCTGTGAGCGAGGGCTGCGCGTCGGGTCGGCGGCGCCCCTGCAGGGCGTGGTGCGTGGCGCATGTATAATGTTAGTAAGGTACTGACTCTGTGAGCGAGGGCTGCGCGTCGGGTCGGCGGCGCCCCTGCAGGGCGTGGTGCGTGGCGCATGTATAATGTTAGTAAGGTACTGACTCTGTGAGCGAGGGCTGCGCGTCGGGTCGGCGGCGCCCCTGCAGGGCGTGGTGTGTGGCGCATGTATAATGTTAGTAAGGTACTGACTCTGTGAGCGAGGGCTGCGCGTCGGGTCGGCGGCGCCCCTGCAGGGCGTGGTGCGTGGCGCATGTATAATGTTAGTAAGGTACTGACTCTGTGAGCGAGGGCTGCGCGTCGGGTCGGCGGCGCCCCTGCAGGGCGTGGTGCGTGGCGCATGTATAATGTTAGTAAGGTACTGACTCTGTGAGCGAGGGCTGCGCGTCGGGTCGGCGGCGCCCCTGCAGGGCGTGGTGCGTGGCGCATGTATAATGTTAGTAAGGTACTGACTCTGTGAGCGAGGGCTGCGCGTCGGGTCGGCGGCGCCCCTGCAGGGCGTGGTGCGTGGCGCATGTATAATGTTAGTAAGGTACTGACTCTGTGAGCGAGGGCTGCGCGTCGGGTCGGCGGCGCCCTGCAGGGCGTGGTGTGTGGCGCATGTATAATGTTAGTAAGGTACTGACTCTGTGAGCGAGGGCTGCGCGTCGGGTCGGCGGCGCCCCTGCAGGGCGTGGTGTGTGGCGCATGTATAATGTTAGTAAGGTACTGACTCTGTGAGCGAGGGCTGCGCGCGTGCAGGGCGTGGTGTGTGGCGCATGTATAATGTTAGTAAGGTACTGACTCTGTGAGCGAGGGCTGCGCGTCGGGTCGGCGGCGCCCCTGCAGGGCGTGGTGTGTGGCGCATGTATAATGTTAGTAAGGTACTGACTCTGTGAGCGAGGGCTGCGCGTCGGGTCGGCGGCGCCCCTGCAGGGCGTGGTGTGTGGCGCATGTATAATGTTAGTAAGGTACTGACTCTGTGAGCGAGGGCTGCGCGTCGGGTCGGCGGCGCCCCTGCAGGGCGTGGTGCGTGGCGCATGTATAATGTTAGTAAGGTACTGACTCTGTGAGCGAGGGCTGCGCGTCGGGGCGGCGGCGCCCCTGCAGGGCGTGGTGTGTGGCGCATGTATAATGTTAGTAAGGTACTGACTCTGTGAGCGAGGGCTGCGCGTCGGGTCGGCGGCGCCCCTGCAGGGCGTGGAGCGTGGCGCATGGATAATGTTAGTAAGGTACTGACTCTGTGAGCGAGGGTCGGCGCCCCTGCAGGGCGTGGTGTGTGGCGCATGTATATTGTTAGTACATGTTCTGACTCTGTGAGCGATGGGTGTTCGCGTCGGGTCGGCGGCGCCCCTGCAGGGCGTGGTGCGTGGCGCATGTATAATGTTAGTAAGGTACTGACTCTGTGAGCGAGGGCTGCGCGTCGGGACGGCGGCGCCCCTGCCGGGCGTGGTGCGTGGCGCATGTATAATGTTAGTAAGGTACTGACTCTGTGAGCGAGGGCTGCGCGTCGGGTCGGCGGCGCCCCTGCAGGGCGTGGTGTGTGGCGCATGTATAATGGTGACTCTGTGAGTGGCCCCGCAGGGCGTGGTGTGTGGCGCATGTATAATGTTAGTAAGATACTGACTCTGTGAGCGAGGGCTGCGCGTCGGGTCGGCGGCGCCCCTGCAGGGCGTGGTGCGTGGCGCATGTATAATGTTAGTAAGGTACTGACTCTGTGAGCGAGGGCTGCGCGTCGGGTCGGCGGCGCCCCTGCAGGGCGTGGTGGGTGGCGCATGTATAATGTTAGTAAGGTACTGACTCTGTGAGCGAGGGCTGCGCGTCGGGTCGGCGGCGCCCCTGCAGGGCGTGGTGTGTGGCGCATGTATAATGTTAGTAAGGTACTGACTCTGTGAGCGAGGGCTGCGCGTCGGGGCGGCGGCGCCCCTGCAGGGCGTGGTGCGTGGCGCATGTATAATGTTAGTAAGGTACTGACTCTGTGAGCGAGGGCTGCGCGTCGGGTCGGCGGCGCCCCTGCAGGGCGTGGTGCGTGGCGCATGTATCAGGTTAGTAAGCTACAGACTCGGTGAGCGAGGGCTGCGCGTCGGGGCGGTCGGCGCCCCTGCAGGGCGTGGTGTGGCGCATGTATAATGTTAGTAATGTACTGACTCTGTGAGCGAGGGCTGCGCGTCGGGTCGGCGGCGCCCCTGCAGGGCGTGGTGCGTGGAGCATGTATAATGTTAGTTTGGTAGTGTCTATGTGTTCTTTGGCTGCGCGTCGGGTCGTCGGCGCCCCTGCAGGGCGTGGTGTGTGGCGCATGTATAATGTTAGTAATGTACTGACTCTGTGAGCGAGGGCTGCGCGTCGGGTCGGCGGCGCCCCTGCAGGGCGTGGTGTGTGGCGCATGTAGAATGTTTGTTTGGTCTTGACTCTGTGAGCGAGGGCTGCGCGTCGGGTCGGCGGCGCCCCTGCAGGGCGTGGTGTGTGGCGCATGTATAATGTTAGTAAGGTACTGACTCTGTGAGCGAGGGCTGCGCGTCGGGTCGGCGGCGCCCCTGCAGGGCGTGGTGTGTGGCGCATGTATAATGTTAGTAAGGTACTGACTCTGTGAGCGAGGGCTGCGCGTCGGGTCGGCGGCGCCCCTGCAGGGCGTGGTGCGTGGCGCATGTATAATGTTAGTAAGGTACTGACTCTGTGAGCGAGGGCTGCGCGTCGGGGCGGTGGCGCCCCTGCAGGGCGTGGTGTGTGGCGCATGTATAATGTTAGTAATGTACTGACTCTGTGAGCGAGGGCTGCGCGTCGGGTCGGCGGCGCCCCTGCAGGGCGTGGTGTGTGGCGCATGTATAATGTTAGTAAGGTACTGACTCTGTGAGCGAGGGCTGCGCGTCGGGTCGGCGGCGCCCCTGCAGGGCGTGGTGTGTGGCGCATGTATAATGTTAGTAAGGTACTGACTCTGTGAGCGAGGGCTGCGCGTCGGGTCGGCGGCGCCCCTGCAGGGCGTGGTGTGTGGCGCATGTATAATGTTAGTAAGGTACTGACTCTGTGAGCGAGGGCTGCGCGTGCGCGCAGGGCGTGGTGTGTGGCGCATGTATAATGTTAGTAATGTACTGACTCTGTGAGCGAGGGCTGCGCGTCCGGCGGCGCCCCTGCAGGGCGTGGTGTGTGGCGCATGTATAATGTTAGTAATGTACTGACTCTGTGAGCGAGGGCTGCGCGTCGGGGCGGCGGCACCCCTGCAGGGCGTGGTGTGTGGCGCATGTATAATGTTAGTAAGCCTACAGACTCTGTGAGCGAGGGCTGCGCGTCGGGTCGGCGGCGCCCCTGCAGGGCGTGGTGCGTGGCGGATGTATAATGTTATTAAGGTACTGACTCTGTGAGCGAGGGCTGCGCGTCGGGTCGGCGGCGCCCCTGCAGGGCGTGGTGTGTGGCGCATGTATAATGTTAGTAAGGTACTGACTCTGTGAGCGAGGGCTGCGCGTCGGGTCGGCGGCGCCCCTGCAGGGCGTGGTGCGTGGCGCATGTATAATGTTAGTAAGGTACTGACTCTGTGAGCGAGGGCTGCGCGTCGGGTCGGCGGCGCCCCTGCAGGGCGTGGGTTGTGGGGGACGGCTTTTGTGAGTACGGCTCTGACTATGTGAGCGAGGGCTGCGCGTCGGGGCGTCGGCGCCCCTGCAGGGCGTGGTGTGTGGCGCATGTATAATGTTAGTAATGTACTGACTCTGTGAGCGAGGGCTGCGCGTCGGGTCGGCGGCGCCCCTGCAGGGCGTGGTGTGTGGCGCATGTATAATGTTAGTAAGGTACTGACTCTGTGAGCGAGGGCTGCGCGTCGGGTCGGCGGCGCCCCTGCAGGGCGTGGTGTGTGGCGCATGTATAATGTTAGTAAGGTACTGACTCTGTGAGCGAGGGCTGCGCGTCGGGTCGGCGGCGCCCCGGCAGGGCGTGGTGCGTGGCGCATGGATAATGTTAGTAAGGTACTGACTCTGTGAGCGAGGGCTGCGCGTCGGGTCGGCGGCGCCCCTGCAGGGCGTGGCTCGTGGGTCATGTTTACTGTTCGTACCTCACTGTCTCTGTGAGCGAGGGCTGCGCGTCGGGTCGGCGGCGCCCCTGCAGGGCGTGGTGCGTGGCGCATGTATAATGTTAGTAAGGTACTGACTCTGTGAGCGAGGGCTGCGCGTCGGGTCGGCGGCGCCCCTGCAGGGCGTGGTGTGTGGCGCATGTATAATGTTAGTAAGGTACTGACTCTGTGAGCGAGGGCTGCGCGTCGGGTCGGCGGCGCCCCTGCAGGGCGTGGTGCGTGGCGCATGTATAATGTTAGTAAGGTACTGACTCTGTGAGCGAGGGCTGCGCGTCGGGTCGGCGGCGCCCCTGCTGGGCGTGGTGCGTGGCGCATGTATAATGTTAGTAAGGTACTGACTCTGTGAGCGAGGGCTGCGCGTCGGGTCGGCGGCGCCCCTGCAGGGCGTGGTGTGTGGCGCATGTATAATGTTAGTAAGGTACTGACTCTGTGAGCGAGGGCTGCGCGTCGGGTCGGCGGCGCCCCTGCAGGGCGTGGTGCGAGGCGCATGTATAATGTTAGTAAGGTACTGACTCTGTGAGCGAGGGCTGCGCGTCGGGTCGGCGGCGCCCCTGCAGGGCGTGGTGTGTGGCGCGTACTGACTCTGTGAGCGCTGCGCGTCGGGTCGGCGGCGCCCCTGCAGGGCGTGGTGTGTGGCGCATGTATAATGTTAGTAAGGTACTGACTCTGTGAGCGAGGGCTGCGCGTCGGGTCGGCGGCGCCCCTGCAGGGCGTGGTGCGTGGCGCAACAATAATGTTAGTAAGGTACTGACTCTGTGAGCGAGGGCTGCGCGTCGGGGCGTCGGCGGCCCCTGCAGGGCGTGGTGTGTGGCGCATATATAATGTTAGTAATGTACTGACTCTGTGAGCGAGGGCTGCGAGTCGGGGAGCGGCGCCCCTGCAGGGCGTGGTGTGTGGCGCATGTATAATGTTAGTAAGGTACTGACTCTGTGAGCGAGGGCTGCGCGTCGGGTCGGCGGCGCCCCTGCAGGGCGTGGTGCGTGGCGCATGTATAATGTTAGTAAGGTACTGACTCTGTGAGCGAGGGCTGCGCGTCGGGTCGGCGGCGCCCCTGCAGGGCGTGGTGTGGCGCATGTATAATGTTAGTAAGGTACTGACTCTGTGAGCGAGGGCTGCGCGTCGGGTCGGCGGCGCCCCTGCAGGGCGTGGTGTGTGGCGCATGTATAATGTTAGTAAGGTACTGACTCTGTGAGCGAGGGCTGCGCGTCGGGTCGGCGGCGCCCCTGCAGGGCGTGGTGTGTGGCGCATGTATAATGTTAGTAAGGTACTGACTCTGTGAGCGAGGGCTGCGCGTCGGGTCGGCGGCGCCCCTGCAGGTCGTGGTGGTGAGACGCGATGTTCCGCTCTGTAAGGTACTGACTCTGTGAGCGAGGGCTGCGCGTCGGGTCGGCGGCGCCCCTGCAGGGCGTGGTGTGTGGCGCATGTATAATGTTAGTAAGGTACTGACTCTGTGAGCGAGGGCTGCGCGTCGGGTCGGCGGCGCCCCTGCAGGGCGTGGTGTGTGGCGCATGTATAATGTTAGTAAGGTACTGACTCTGTGAGCGAGGGCTGCGCGTCGGGGCGTCGGCGCCCCTGCAGGGCGTGGTGTGTGGCGCATATATAATGTTAGTAATGTACTGACTCTGTGAGCGAGGGCTGCGCGTCGGGTCGGCGGCGCCCCTGCAGGGCGTGGTGAGTGGCGCATGTATAATGTTAGTAAGGTACTGACTCTGTGAGCGAGGGCTGCGCGTCAGGTCGGCGGAGCCCCTTCAGGGCGTGGTGTGTGGCGCATGTATAATGATAGTAAGGTACTGACACTGTGAGCGAGGGCTGCGCGTCGGGTCGGCGGCGCCCCTGCAGGGCGTGGTGTGTGGCGCATGTATAATGTTAGTAAGGTACTGACTCTGTGAGCGAGGGCTGCGCGTCGGGTCGGCGGCGCCCCTGCAGGGCGTGGTGCGTGGCGCTGCTGGCGCCGCTGACGCCGCCGCCGCCGCCGCGCCGCTGCCCCTCGAAGTAGGCGGCCCCGTGCCGGTACCCGACCTCGCGGATCTCGTCGAACGACCCGAACTGCAGCGTCTTGTACGCGTCGATCGGCGGACGGATGTACTCGCAGTAGTCTGACTTTTTTACTTCCTATAAAAAAAATATACAATTGAACACATTTATAACTGTAAGATCGGATTGGAAGATTGTAAGATCCACTAATCATGGCTTTGAAGCCGGCTACCGCAAGTGAAACCCCAAGTAGCGCCCGTGACTTGTGACACGAATGTAGGTTTAAGAGGTCCCTTTAGAATGCATTAACACTCACTTTCACTACTTGCAGCTTCCCCCCAGACCCAACTAAGACCGGGATAAACCCATTTCTCATACAATTCACTTTAGTATCCAAAACAACCGGTATGCTCTGCGCTCGTCGACTGAATGCTGCGACTCACCCAACGAAATAAGATTATTCAACTACCGACCTCCGTATTTATAGACCGAAGTCAGTGTAGTAGGTCGGTCTATAAATACTAGATGGCGCTTTACAATATTTGTAATAAACTTTACATTGGGTACTTCATTAGTACTAAACACAAACTACCTTCTTTTAATATCTTTTTAAAATATCGGATTTGACTTTGATTGATGTAAACTCTAACATAACTATAATATACTACAATGTATATATTCTAACGTTATAATAACCAAAAAAAGTGTAGACACAGTCATGCTACTTCATGTACATATACTACGAGATTGAAATAACAATATTAAAATACTATACGAAGTCCCTAAACTGGCATGTTATAGTAGAGTGATCTAAGTTAAATGCTACAATATAAAGAAGAAATATTAAAATTCGGAATAAATCTATAATTATAGAGAATCAAAAAGTTTTTATCCTAAAGATTTTAAAATCTACCAGGGGAATAAAGAACAAATACATCAGTGCAAAACAATATAATTTTTAAAATAGAACCCATATTGATAGGGTTTCCTGTGTTACGGTTTCTTACAGTGGTTAGGATTATTTATTACCATGTGGTAACTTAATTATAATATACTGCTAATATATAATAATACTAACATACACATACTACATAACACAGTACATACCTCTAATTGCCTGTTACAAGATACATAGGCGAGTCGACTTTGTATATCAGGTAAATTAGGCACCTTGACGGGAGTTGTGAATGGGTTCCATCTGAAAGAAACGTGGATTTATAATTGTTTTTCCAAGCAATGTAGCGCATATGTGTGGATATACAGAGGCATTACTAGCTTTCAAACGGAAGAAAAATTCTTCTTAATAAAAGAACGAAAGTCGAGGTCATTATATGAAGACGTAAGTGGTTGATGTTATCCACTTTACGACAGCTTGCTATTTTTCTCTACTACCGGGCGTTTTGGAATATTCATGGAGTACAGCATCTAGTGCTAGATAAAACAAATTAAAGATTTGTTCAGATAATCTTATGGGAGATAGTCCAAGGGCTCTGCTAATGCATACTGTGTATAAGCAGAACATTAGGGAACGACAATTTGACCATAGATGTCTACTACAGCAAATTAAAAAGTAATGATAAGTTTTCTTTCTCATATATATTATAACATAGCTTTCAGTAGCAGTCATTTTATAAGCTTTCTCATTAATATTGTTAATAAAAAATATTTTTTTTCATCACAATATTGAGCGATAACAAACATAATAGTCTAACTAAGAAAAATGTATCCTTATAATTATGTCAAATGTTATGTTGGACTATTAACAGTATAATAGTATATATATAAATATTAGTATATATATATATTAGTAATATTTATATAAATAGAAATTATTAAACCTTGCCAAATATAAAATCATTGCTTACAAGTTTTTGGAGCGTTGTTTACCTTTTCCAAAGGAGCCACCAACCAGACAAATCGTCGCCATAGTTAGTAAGATCTACATCATCTTGAGATCCCACGTCTATTGCTAAAATGTGTTTAGCACCGAGCGACCTCATCACGTCCGCTGAAATTTAAATAAAAATTATTATACTTTTGTCTATAATATTCTGACTGAATGTGTGAATGATAGAAACTAGATATACTTAGATGATAGAAAATCATCAAATCAATTTATAACATATATTTGTAATAAACAATTAACATGTTTAAACACTTAAATTATGTCTAAATAAATACAAAGTATTAAGATTTGGCACTGAGGACAAACTCCAAAACTAAAACATACAACCAATAGTTTGTAAAATGGAATACTAAAAATTGCAATGTGTACGAAATTATTTTGTTTTAAATGATACGAATCAGCTTTTAATAAGAGTTATCAATTACAAATATAAAAGTGTAACACATTGTTTATGGGATATTCTAAAATTAAATTACACGGTCAATTAGAATATGATTTTTATAATTAAGACGGTAGAGTATATATTACCTGGTACGTTATTGACGTAGCAACCATCTAACAGGAGGTGGCCATCGTGAGGGTCGCAGATTGGAGGGAATATCCCGGCGATGCTCATAGACGCGCGACAGTACCGCCACAGCACACCTGACAGCGGGATCGTCACTATCCGGCCCGGGGTTGCCATACGCACTTACCTTCACCGTGGTTCTGAGTGTAAATGTTTGACCATAGACAATTTAAATTTGTCCAATATTTTTTTTATTCGCCGCGGAGCTGTTTTAAGCTGTAAACAATTTTCTTTTCTTTTCTGATGCTATTATCTCACATATCGTAATGATATTTACCTTCAATAGCTTCAGTCACATGGTAAAAAACTATGTTAATTCATAAATAAATGCATTGTACATGAATTTTATTTGAATTTGTGTTTTCTAACAGAGTAAATAAAACTCATAATTAAATACCTGTATAAAATTTGATACCTAAGAAGGTTAAACCGCCTACGTAAAACAAGATCTGTGTAATAAATACGTGTTTTGTGCAGCTAAGAAATTGTGAAAACAATCTTTGTTTTATAGTGAATGTACTTACTAGATAAAAGGCAATGGTTTCTGTTATTGTTGTTTATTATCTATGCTTTAGCTCTATGAGTACCTAGGTACCACGACTACTATCGTCCGTAGTTCGTATGACTGCAATTGCACTCCTACATATAATAATTAGAGATAATTTATACAAATAACTATCGTTATGTATACCATTATGTCCTGTTATGTAACATTTAAATGGCATTAGGTGCTGAAGAAAACACAAGTTTCTACACGTGTATATTAATTATAAATAAAACAAAATATACTCTAGATCTATTTAGAAATTATAACTTTTAAAGATTCTATAAAAGCTTTAATCATTTTGTGTGAAACACGTAGGTAAGCAAATTCCATATAGAAATCTGTGCCGATATTACTGTTTATTGTGCCGTAAATAATTAAGTAACGTGATTTTAATCGAATAGAAATTATTTATGCCTATTCCAAAAACCAATTTAAAAAAAACATTTACACTCAGCCCACGCCGCCAATCTAAACCGCTGGAATTATCTATGTGCGAGTGAGTTTACAGCCAATTGGTTTACGCACACAAACATCAGTGCATTGTGATTGGTTTACCTGGCAGGTTGTTGACGTAACCGCCGTCCAATAGGAGGTGGCCGTCTACGGGGTCGCACAGCGGCGGCATGTAACCGCTCAGTGACATCGAGGCGCGTATGTAACGCCATAGCGAACCTGCGGTCCGCGATATGCGTTAACACTGGCATCGATTTTTCAAATTTCGAACCTTATACTTTTTTAATTTAAGTTGCAATAAACAACATCTAGGTACAATATACTCTAATCTTAAGGCGTGTACACAAGATTTCGAATGGCTGTGAAAGTTAGGTGTCGTATACATCCGTGTATGTTAACTAGACAACACAGTCCATGGAAAGGAAACGATGAGAAGCGATCCCATAGACTTCGGAAGAAATGGAGTATCTTAAATAATTAAGAAAAGAATTAATACAATGAATCTAAGTTTTTTACCAACCCAAACGTTAACACATCAAACATATTAGTCAACGATTCTATTATAAGAGGGATTCAAGTAAAACAACATAGTTTACTACTAGCAATCTAATGATACAATGAGATAGTCCATGCTACAGTATTCGGACATGCATTATGCTAATCAAGGGAGAGCTATCGAACATGATAAATCGCAAAGAAATAAGATGAAAATGTTGTAAAGCCACGGATTCACTTAGGACGTCAGTATTGTTTCAGAAATGATGACTCTGTTCTATCGATTAATTTTACTGTATATTACATTTCTTTTCGTGAGTTTTTAATGCTTGTATTGGTCTTGGAGTTTATATCCGGATTAAGGCACGTAATTACATTTTTAATATATGTTTATAAGTAATTCTGTACGCATAGTACAAGTTCTGCTCAATTTTAGGGCCAAATGGCGTTATGTCAGTTACTCACGATCATTTAATTTTAATGGAATTAAAAATTCGTTTACAAACTGATAGTGAACTTCAAATAGACATTACCCTGCATATTTGAAGTTGTAATGAAATGCAAAATTTGCAACATATTGCAATGTTACCAGCCATATAAACTTATAAGAAAATATAGTGGGCTCTCATCTCTAGTAAAAATTAGTAATATAAGCAATCTTTTCCATGTAAATTCACAGTTACACATGTTGGTATTTTTAAAGAAATTGTATTAATTTAAAAGTGTATGGTCACGTCCTAGTAAATATGTGGCTTATTATTCGTTATGATATATAGATAGATATAGATATATGACTTTATGTTAAAAATGAAGTCCCTATAGCTATCACTCCGCTATCCACTTGACCATCCACATATCCCAAAGGAAATCAAACTTTAATTACATTTCTGACATGTTGAAATCATTTTCGGTCGTCCTAGCACTATAAAAACCTCGACAGAAAAACTCTGTAAAACCAAATTATACTTTACCAAAAAAACAAACAAATACCAATAAATAAACTAATAACATCATAGACCGCATCATCACTTAAAATCAGGTGAAATTGCGGTCAAACGCTATCAAATTTAGAAATAAAAAAAATCAGAATGAAATTACTTTTAATAAGTTGAATGTACAAGAGTAACATACTGGAGTGGACTTTTTAAATGCTTAGCATTATATATTTTACTTGGCAGTAGAATAGAATAGAATAGAAGCTTTATTCAAATAAACTTACTATGGGCACTTTTGAATAGTCACATTATTTTATTCTAGCACTCATTCGGAACATAGACTCATCACAAAGAAAATGAGAAAGAAACTTGCGTGTTGCTCTTTTAAATAAATGTAGTTCTGAGTAAATACAAATTAACAAAGATTAGGCGTGTCATTTACATTCCAATGAAACATTACATTTTTATTTAAGTCTGATCTTTGTCAGCTTACTTTTTCAGCTTAGTTTTGTTTGTTAAAGTATTCTTTTATGTACTCTACCATAACTTTACAGTAGTAATACAATTTTTACAGGTAGATGACGTTGTATATAATAATTCTTTATCCACATTTTTTAGTAACAATCTTAATACACAGTTTTTAGTTGTAAGAAAACAACGCCATTTTTTAATTCAATCATTATTTTAGTAAGAAATTTGCCGGTCATATAAAACAGACGCTTTATATTTTCTTTCATTAGAATAGATAAATAAATAACAGTCGTTTTCGAGTCTGATTCTTACATATATTTACATTAAAATTTATTTAATGGAATCTTCAATATAACTTATATTTTTCATTTTATATGAATTTTTATATTATAAACGTCTCCTGAATCGATTTTTTTTATTATAAACTTTTATTTCGTAAACATACTTAATTTTTAAAGTATGTTGACACTAACACTTTATATATCCATGTAGTTATCAGAGGATATCTAACAAGTACTTGTTAGAATTATTTTAACTATATGTCTTTGTTTAACGATAAATAAAAAAATATAGATAAAAACTAAGATGAAATATAATCTATGCATGTCACATCTATGCTCATAATGATCTATCAATACTACAATTCAAGCGGAGTTTCACTACAGTGATGATAATGATTAGAGAGGAGAGTAAAAAATGAGAGTAGGATGTCCAACTAAAAACCACACTCATGCATATAAATAGAATGATGAGAGCAACTGATGAAATAATGTACATATATGATTAAACAGTACACTGTAACATCCAACCCGACATTGTCAATACGCACCGATTGTTATAAAAAACAACTAATTTATTGACTTCTAAAATTGTAAGCGTTATTCGGTAAACCAATCACAAGCGTTCTTTTTATGTACGTAATGGCAACCCCAAAGCAAATGTCGGATTCGTACATGGTTATAACTTCAAATACACAGCATTATTTAGTGTGGTAACACCGAGTGAGGGACGTTACATACACATATAAAAAGATACAATACAATAATATATATGTTTTATTTGTATAATTCAATACGAACACTCGATACAGGACATACAAACACATAAATGCAAGTGAGTGTGGTTGAAAAAGTTAAAAAAAAACACTGTAGCGGACTAGCATATTTAAGGGAGGTTACGCGTCGACTGTACGAGCCAAACAACTGCAACGAAGAAACGAGACAGGTATAGTCTGTTTCTAAAGATTTCCATAACAATACTAGTCTTTGCCACCATAGATACTGACAATCGTATGATGGCATAGACAACTCCGCATAAGAGACTAAAAAAAAGTAACGATCTCATCATTGAATTAAAAGCCAAGTGAAATGACATTGACATATTACCATTTGTAATATCAAGTCTACCTCGCAATCTGGTCGGCAGATTGTTGAGGCGATGTTAGCACTACATACATACTTATAAATCATATTTATTTACCATGCACATTGTATTCTTTCATTAACTGAACATGTACTTTCTTCAATAAGAAAACACATTTTTCATTTTGTAGGGTAAGAAAATATCCACAAGGCATATTTTGGGTTAGTAAAAGTGCAATGAAAGCTGTAAACGAGTTACAAATAAAAATTATAAACAAACACATAGTACACAATAAAATTTCCTGTCCATGAATGTGTTGAGTTAATATGACAAAACTTATGTGTACGCATATATGTCCTCATGATGGATATGCAACCATATAAAAGAAATAATAATGTATTATCTATTGTACATTTCAGTAATGCAACTTAAAACTAGCAGCATATCATCTCAGTCTTTCGGATTGGGAACGGATGAGGGTTGGGACCTCGGGGCCCCCTGTACTCCGGCATGAACTCCGGTTACAACCCTCAGGACGGGGTTATAAGCCTCTTAGGACGCGAATGAGCTTATAAAATAAACTAAACCTAATCTAACTTAAGATTTAGTACTATTATTAGAGACGGATAGCATGAGCATCAAATAAAAACGAGATGTCCGTAGTGATGTTCATGTATATAGGTAGTAGACGGTAGGCCGTCAGCTTGTTTGCATTCTAATTATATAAAAAAATTACATTATTATTCCTTTGAGTGTATTATAACGTTATAAATAAAAAATATATTATAAACTTCGATTTCTTTGCTAATATCATATTAATTTTTATTTACAATTGTACAGTGTACAATACATATTTATTTAACTGTCATGGATTATTTAAACCGTATATTTACGGTGACCCTTTCCGATATATCGACAAACAGACCGTTTGTAACAGCGCCGTCGAAATATCGGTAACTTATAAAACTATTAACTAGGTAAATATCTCGTTTATGTGTACAATTGTAAAGTAAATGTATATACGTTGAATATGAAATTCATGAAAGTGTAGTAATAATAAAATTAGCAAAATAATCGAATTAAAAACGTATAGGCATCAAAATAAAAGGCAATAAGTATATATTTTGATGCATACGTTATCGTTTATCACACACAAATGAAGCTTATATAGTAATAAAAATATATTATTTGCAACAAATGTTATTATATCTCCAATCCCATGAACGATTACTTAAATATCCCACACAAATAGTCCATTTGACGTAATATATTTATAAGGACTTTAAAATATTTTACGTATTAATAATAATGATTGGTTTAATTATATAAATAATTAATTAATGTTATTTCCTATATGGGAAATCTCTTTCTAATATTTTCATAAGGAAAGGATAGAATCAAATAGTTCACCATAAAATAGTTGATCTAATTGTAAAACAGTTAACTGTAGTGGACACATAATGCATTTTTTTGGTATCCGCGCTCCCAGCCTCCAATTTTGACAAAAGCTATCTATCTATCTATCAAATATCTAATCAGTGTTCGTAACCCGAACATACCAGACCCCACAAGCAACACTCGTTCACAAGTGTGACGGATGAGATTTTCTTTACTAACCTTAAAACCAATCACAATTATAAATACCGGCAAATAACTTGAACAGTTGTCATCACATGACTTGCTCAATAACAATACTACGTACACAATCCTCTACTAAACATATTTTTTACAGTACTGTTCAAGATAAATATCTTTAACTGTACCCCCATGAACAACCCATACATACTCCCCACTTACCATGCCTGTGTATCCTCATGCAGCTGGAGCTGATGTCGGTGGTGACCGTGAAGTACGGAAGCCATAGATCCTCAATGTGGACGTCTCCGAAGGTGGTGTGGATGGTAGTGTTGAACTGTCGCCCGGAGAACATGGATGTGGCCGGGTACGTCAGGTCTAGGAGCTGTTTGCCCCATTGTGTCATTTTCTAGAACGAGCACAGTTAAATATTGAGAATATGAATAAAACGAAAGTACGTAAGTAAATAATATTTTTGATAATAGAGAAACTCTTTAAACAGTAATCTGTAGTATTATTACAAAGAGAAAGAACATATATTGTTATGAGTAAAAGTAAACTCCAGAATCACTGCTCCGATTTGAGAAATTCTTTCATCGTTTAAAAGGTATTACAAAGTAACATAGACAATATATTAATAATAATAAAACCCAGGACAATTCACACAGAGCCATTATATCCCAAGCTATATGCTTAGCTTGTGTTATGGGTACTAGACAAGTTTTATAAATACTTATTTATTTTCGTAAATATATACATAATATATATGAAAAACACCCAGACTGATAAATACAATCATAGTCATGAATACCAATGTTTCCATAGTATGTGGTAGTTATATAATGATTTTATTTAATGACAGGCCGTCTTGTATAATATAATAGAGCTTCTAATGAAACCCAGATGTAATTATATTTCATTTTCATTCATAATTTAAGAGCTACGCTTTTGTCGGTCTTTAATTCTTGCTCTTTAATTCTTGATACGACACGATTCCCATTTTGTCCTCAATTTGTTTGATGTAGCTATTCCTTGGTCTTACCCTCCCCCTCTTTCCTTCTATTTTCCCCTCAATAATAATTTTCATGAAATCGTTGCCGTATCAAGTGTCCTAACATTCATTGTTATTATATTTAAGTATTTTAATTTCGACAACGTTTTACAAATTAGGTTAGTACAAAAGAAGTGAACTCAATAATTGATGAACGTCTATAGAAGAAAAAAACTAAAAATGATGCAGGTATACAAAAAACAAGTATATAATATAAATGCAATGCGAATATTCAATGCATCTTCTTGGTGCTATTAAAATATATCAGGCGCTTTAAGCCTGAACACAGATATAATTATAAGTTTTGTGACATAAAGAATAAAATATGAAGTGTGACATACCTGCGACCACTCCCTGGCCTTCTGTGTCACCGTAGTGATGTTCCGCTCCATACACCATAATGCTCCCATGAACGCGCCGATACTCACACCGCCGACCATGTCTATAGGGATTCCTGCCTCCTATAGGATTGAATATGAAAGAGAAAAAAATATTCAGTACTTTGTTGCATGTCCACCATTTTTATGAATATTTATATTATTTTGATATGTTTTTGTTACTTTGGGATGTGTACACAATCTTGGGGTATATATGTTTGTTTTATTGAATAGTGATCCCGCTCGAGTTATAAACTGTTATAATAACATATATATAATAATACATTTAAATCACAGCAACATACAAGTGTGTACATGTGCGTGTGGGCGCGTACCTGTATGGCTCGTATCATGCCCACGTGCGCGGCCCCCCGCGCCCCGCCGCCGCCCAGCACGAGCCCCACGGAGGTGCCGGTGAGCCAGCGGGCTAGCCGGGAGAAGTCCGAGTGCACGTTCGCCTCCGACATCAGCACTTTCGTGTACAGCTCGCTCTGCAAATAGACACACGGTTCTACTTAAAATTGCATATTAGCGATTCTACAATAAACATAACGACTAGATAATCGAGCAGCGAGACTTTTTAGTCTCTGGTAGACAATCAAGTCTACTTACTTCAATCTTCTATAACATTAACTGCATTTATACGACAAATTGCCTCTCACGGTAAATTGCACCTGACAAGACTTCATGGTCATTTCAACATCTTCCACTGATGCCTCGCCATCTTAAACCGTTAGCGCAGTCAGAGGCAATATTAAATTAACATCTATAAAAAAAAAATGGTAACACAGTGCCGGCCGGGTTAACGCCTTCCTGGCGATGGAGTAGCACCAGCTGCTTCTGAATACTCACAATTCTGTACTGGCTCTTCCTGGTGAACATGCGGTGCGGGCACCGCACGTGGTGGTGCTGGCTGACCCACGAGCGCATGTTGAGCCAGTGCACGGTGCCGGCCGGGTTGGCGCCTCCCTCGCGGTGGAGCAGCACCAGCTCCTTCTGCGTACGGATCGCGAGACGCTCGATTTCTTTTTCGATCTGGAAAGTTCCATATTAGGAATCGATTATTGGGGAATATAGGGAAATTGGAACTGGAAGAGAATTAAAATAAATTCTAAGGGGTTGAAACTCAAGGGACGAAGAACAATGACCCGAAAAAATATTATTTCAACCCATTCATATAGCCTTATATTGACAGCCTCGGTGGTCTAGTGGTTTAGCACACCGCTTTACTACCCGATGGTCGTGGGTTCGATTCCTCGCACAGTACAAACATTTGTATTCATGAGTATGATTGTTTGTATCGGTCTGGGTGTTTTCTATGTTTAATATGTATTTATTTACAAAAAAAAAATGTATTCATGTATTTATATCAGTTGTCTAGTACCCATAACACAAGCTCTGCTTAGCTTGGGATTAGATGGCGTTGTGTGAATTGTCCTGAGATATTATTATATTATTATTATTATTTCTCCATTCCAAATCTTTTATGATCAAAAATTTCATGACTTCACCTTCAATTGTAAATACTTAAGAATACAAACAATACTTACACACTTACAATATGAGTTAAGAATACTACATCATCTAATTACTGCTCACCTTGCCAATACTGGGCTGTTTGTCACCAAGCGCTACGATCAAAATGCAGTCGGCCTGCCGTATGCACCGCTGGGTCCATTGTGTTAGACTCGGGTCACATTGGTACAACGCCACCTAACATTAACAATTATTAAATTAAATGTTATGTCCTTTGGCATTTCGCGAGAAAAAAACAAGGCAACGAACAAGCTAAATTACGCTATACTGAGGCAACTTTTCTTCAACCTATTTTGTGGTAAGTGTATTTTAAATTGTTTTTTTATTTTAAGATTTATCTACTGTATGAAATATTAATTGTGTCCCTTAACAATACCTTATGCTTGTCCTCCTGCTGAGCGAGCCATGAGCTCAGACGGTACTCGTTGTTAGGGTCCATAATAGTAAGACCAAGTAGCTTTCTAATAACATCAGATGTGAGACGAACAGTTGGCCCTAGCAAACAAAAAAGTACACTGACATGTAAGTACATAAGGTCGTATTTACAACAAAACAAATATAACAAATTAAATCAACTTTTTTATCGTTAAAGAGACCACGCGCAACGCGCGCACGCAAGAGCCCTAACGGTCTGCTATTGGCTCTTTAGGCTAAATAAATTCATACAGGAGATATACACACACAAGTCTGAATAATTACACTATTTTATCGAATTAGATGTTATTTTATTGTTTTTTGTAAACATGTACAACATTTATTTGAAAAGAATAGAGCTGAGCTTCTTGTCAGTTCTTCTAATCTTAAAATCCTTCCGAACTGACGGTAGATTTGACATATCATAAGAATCTATAACTGTAATAGACCTACATGAATAAAGATATTTTGTTTCTTTTTTAAAGTTTTTTTACCACTTCATAACTACTTACCAATAGCGCATAGCGAATGGTACAGTTCATAAGTGAAGGAGGTGAGTGGGACATCGTCGCTGACAGGCACCACGGCCACCGTTGAGAAGTTGTGTTGCGATGGACGGGATTCGATCGCTGCCGGTCCCCCTAGACCCGCTGTCGGCTTCTGCCATGAACCTAGTATAATTTTTTAACTATTAGCTGTATTTACACTTACGCTCGTTCTCACGACAATCGACTTTCATGCTAGACAGAGTGTGCATGTAAGTGTCGGCAAAGAGAACGCGAAAGACTCTCGAGAGAACCTCGGCAGATAGTATATTCCACAATCTAAGTGTACTCGAGAGGAAGTTCCTATGAAACCGCACTGTCCGAGACCACTTATGTTTCAGCGTGTGGGGATGAATTCCCTGTCGATGGTGAGCGGTACGATGGTAAAAGATAGTCGTGAACATCATGTCGAAATTGCGACTTATACACTTTATATCATCAATTGTGCGATAACAATTACTGGCTTTTTGTTAGATACAAGTATTAGGATTAACCCTGTAAAATATCAATTAATAACACTTACCCAAAATCCTATGACCGAGTAAGTTTATCAATCTGGTCACAACAACTGGAAAGCGTAGTTTGATCGCGTTAAAGAGACCTTCAGGCAGCTTGGCTAGTTCCGAGTCGCGAACTGCCATCACTGTGGTACTCCGCCGGGTCTGGGTTACCATTTCCACCTGGAGACAATATCCTGAAGTTAGCAATTGAAATGCGATACAAGCGGTCATACTTATACTATACAATTTGAATAGGACTAAGGACAAGGAAATAGGGCTAAGAATTGAATATCTAGCAAGGGGTCCTTAAACCTACAACCGGGTCACAAGTCCCGGGAACTGCTCGGAGTTTTCCTCTCTGCCACACAATGGACCCGACAACTGCACAGTGAATCCATCACCTGACGATATATCATTACCGTACCCATAAACACCCGCAACACCAGGGGAATTACAAGTGAGTTTCCGGCCTTTTAAGTAATACTAGTAGATGTAGTAGTAGTAGTAATAGATGCATTAAATCATGATCACTCATGAATACAAGTGTTTGTATCTTGCGAGGAATGGAATCCGCGACCATCAGCAATAAAGCGGTGTGCTAAACCTAAATAAAAACGGTAGTCACTTTCATGTGGAATATCTACTCACTTGCTATTACAGTTACAATAATACTCACAATGCCCACCAGATCCCCCTTCCCGTATTCTCCAACGAGTTCCTTCTTGCCATTGGGATGTGTGATCACCGAACGTAACCGTCCACTTAGCACGATGAATGTGGAACCTGACTCTTCATCCTGACGGTATACCGCGCGACCTGACTCCAGGAACACCTGAAACATCACTCATGTTATCATTGAGTTTCCTAATATATGTATGTACTTGTATACCGATCTTTGGGACAGATATTGTCTAATATAAACATTTTATAGCTGCCTCGACTCCTCTTCATACAAAACACGAAAGTATGAAATTTTTTTACAATAACTAATTAAACTCAATGAAATGTTGTCCATAGGATAAGGCAACTAATATCAACATTACTGATTTTGTTTAAACAAGTCTGTTTTAGAATTACACAGAACTGAAAACAAGATTACCACACAAAAAAACTATCTTTAGCTCATTAGTATGAAGAATACAAAAAAATATAGTAATTTAAAAATATTTGCTAGACATTGGAATTATGATAAATTTTCAGAAAAACGAAAGAAATACGTTTATATTTACAGTAATAATGGAGTAAGCCAAATAGAGCTGAACATAAATATTTACGACAAAATTTCGATTGAAAGTTTTGTTAACACGCTTCGATGAGGCGAGAAGCAAGATCCAAATATAAACCCAAAATTTAAAATTATATTGATACCCTTTATTATATAGAAGTCCCAGTAACTAATGAACCGAATATAACTGACATAAATAATTGCATACATGGGGGGCAAGAAGATTGTTAGTAATATGGACTAATCTTAACTCATATTGACATCCAGGAGGTCCTTCCCATGGAAACCATCTTGATTAATTCCTGATGAATTCGTCACAATGGGCTAATAGACCTGACCTCATGCTCATCCTATCATCCTCTAGCGTAAACTATTAGAGCATACGCGTGGACCATTCCATTATCATCCAGCAAAAAAAAATCATATAATAACTTAAACTCACCCAGTCCAAAGCAAAATCCACTTGTCGCACGAACGGCGACAACCTCCTCACAACAGTATTTGCAATATGCAGCACCACAGACGGCCTTTCTCGCATTATGCTATACACTGTGGTCTTGGACAGAAGGCCGATGCGTGAAAAGTGCTTCGCTCGTATTGAGAAGAAACTCGGCTCGCCAGTAAGTACCGCAAGCCCGCCTTCCACTTCACCTGAATCATTCCACAAAACCATTTTCATTAATAATAAGCTGCCTTTATACGTACTCTTTTTCACGCGCGGATAGGCGATAGGCGTTAGGCAGGAAAGAATGTGCACGTAAATGTAGACAAGAGAACGAGAAAGACCGTGCGCGCCGCCAGCCCGTACGTTCTGACGTTCTTCAGACAAAACGTAATGGGATATTACATTTTACAATCACAACTCATGTTGACCTATGTTTATGGCAAAATAAAGATTTCATATTATTCAATCGGTCGTGCTTTAGCGCTTTTTTAAATAATTAATTATCTAGTAATCGGATGTATGATATTATTTCACGCATAACGTGGAAAAATCCATCCATAAGAATATACACATTTTTAGCTTTAGTAGTAAGATCAGTTAGCATTTATTTTACTTTGTATTATTACCTGGATATGCAGTGAACATGTGCACTTCGCCTTCGCCCTCAGCGACCTTCTGCGATACCAACAACGCACCGGAGAGTAGATACACTAGCGCCACGTCCTAAACAAATTCAATTTTAAGTAAACATGTTACCACAGTAACAAACTAAATTGATACATTTCCAAGTGATGTGTTTGTTGTAGACCGATTATACTGTATTTACAGTGCATGAAACTACTGAACTTGATCAAAATTGGAGCTAATGTAAAGAAAAACAAATGAAGTTTTTTAATGACAGGCCAAATTCAACCTTAACTATTCCTGAATTTTTAAGCAAAGAAATAGCCGTATAAATGTGTATTAAGGTCCTAGTTTTCTTAATAATTATCTAATTTTAGTCATTTTACTAAGACAATTACTTATATACTAATATATTCTGTCTATTATCACAACGTCTGGCTATCGGACACGAAACGATGGATAGCCGGACGACACGGCAAAGTACAGTCTAATGTGTCAGTATGTAGGAACGTACTAAATCCGTCGAATAGAATAATAAATGGACCGCAATAAAATATTTTAAACTTCAGGTTTCAATTTTGGTAGGTTAAAATACAACATATGAGTTTGTATTAATTTAATTATGTTTAGTTCATACTCGTATTAATAACTTAGCATAATTTCGCTCAGTGTTACTAGCTCAATCTGAAACTTCACCCACTTTATTATAAGTGGTATTTTTATTACAACCCTTATAAAATCAATACAAAATGTCTGTAACTCCATTTAAATCCACATACTGTCTAAGATAGATGTAATTTTTAATAAGAATCTTTTTTACTATAAGCTGGCCTTTGAACATGTTATGTATAAATCACACATTTTTATGAATATAAAAAAATTGGTTGCTAGTGGATAATGTACACTCTGCGTCTTGTTGGGTATCACAACCAAAGAACGTATTCAATGAATGATTAGTTTTAATTCACTTTCATGCACACAAATAAACACACCACTCAGTGTGGTGACAGACACTCGGTTCCCGTAATGCGGTTTCCGTTCCGATTGGTGCATTTATTTATTTATCCACACGAAATGAGATTTACAGATCCTCATATGCTCACTTAGACAGATTACTTACATACATATAAATAAGAGAAAAACAATTTGAAGTTTATGCACGACCTAAATAATCTACTGCCATCAAATACAAGTTACAGGTAAATATTTCCAATCGTGTGTGATTTCGCGCCTTTTTCTAATAATTAATTTATCATTGCAAAATGACGGACATCTAACTGTGGAACTAAGACATTTTTTTTTGGAGTTATTGATATTTATAAATCTTAAACATGTCTTTCAAAAATAAAACCTGTGGAATAAAATATAAGCGCCTTATAGCACGATACAATTATCATAAAAAATAGTAAAATGCAATCACACACGATTCCGCGCTCAGGCTTCCACGCGCTAAAACGCGTGTGTTTTTGATCGCGCGTGAAAGAATGTGTCATACATGTTAAAGGCAGCTATTTGCCTACTATTCTATTTCAAGACAACAAATAAAAACTAAACAATTTAGTTACTACGCCAAAAAGTGTGGTTCCTATCAACCAAATGCGCCAAACGGCATCTATTGCAACGATAGTAACCTGACCAAGTGTCTGTGACCACTAAAAACTTATCGCACACTGAACTCATTTATACCTGTTTGATTTCTGGTTCACCCGTCACACTATAAAACAGCTTTTGAAAGGAAAACAATCTTACATTAATAGGGCATGTTCCATTTATGAATACAATTATTATTTAACGGATGAATCGAGCTGTCCTGATGGGAAGTGTTGCCACATGCAACACAAAAGGGAAACACAAATTTATTCTAATCGCTAGAAAATCTAATAATTTCCTATAAATACAGTTTTAATACCTTTTAAAAGCTAATTTTATTATTATTTATTTTTAAACTATCGTGTTAATACACATTATTAATATACTTAAATGGGTTTTAACACTAATAATTTTATGGTAAATTTACCTCTCACAATATTCGATCCTCTCACATCACACGTTTCGACATTTTTCGTCGGATAAATTAATGACAGTAGTTAAACAAACTGCCAGCATATATAAACATTGACATTCGGTGTTACTCCAGTCAGCTCGCGACCACGGCTAATGCAACCTAGTCGAAATACCGACAGAGATAAATACCTATACTTACCATAAAATTATTCTTGTTTAAAACCCGTTTAACTATATTATTAATAATTTTATTATTTATTTTCGACTCGACCAATAATAAGGTCGAGCACATGTCGCGTAAAATTGCCGACAATAAAATGTAAGGTTTCACAATACAGTTTGTTTTCCTATACAAAATGGGAAACGACATGACAACAACACTATATTCATATTTACCTTATGACTTTCCTCCTTCATGATGTAGGTGCCGGCTGGGAGGTCCCTCACTTGCACGTGACCTCTTAATACGGTGTCGCTCTCCAAACCGAGTTCTTTGACGAATGCCTCTGTAGCTATTTGTGTTAATGCCTATATGACAAACAAATGTAGTGTGTAATTCAAAAAGTCCATTTATTTCTCTTTAACCAAACAGTGGATGAATGCAAATGTATTTACAATTTATCATAAGGAAGTTTTTCAACGTATGTAAGTGTTTTTGCAACATTTATTACAGCAACTCCGCTCCTATTGGCCACAGCGTGATATTACATAGCCTTCCTCGATAAATGAGCTTAGAAGGATCTTTAAAACTGGACCAGTATTACCCCGAACATCCAAACTTGCAAATTTTATGTTTAAAGTATTAACATACATTTTGTAATCATGCGCACTTTATGTAGATTATTAAGTACATATTTAAAAGCACATATATACCAGTTCATCGAGATTTTCCGTATTCTGTTTCTTGAACGATGAGCCTTCTTTCGAGCGTTGTAACGGTGGAGTCGGCTGCACGTCAGGTTGTTGCTGTAAACATAAATAGAATACAATAGAATAACTTTTATTTCAGACTAACTACAATCAGTATATGACGACCATTTTGAAACAATTATTAATATATTTTATTCAATTTTATTTTATTACGTTATGTAATATAATAATGTGTTATTACGTATTTTCTATTCAGACAAAATTGTAAACTTGTTATAGTGTTAAAGAAGGTGAGACTGTCTATCTCTTAGATAGGTACACAAGTACTATGTTCAAAGAAAAGATATTTTATTATTAATATACGCAAATTTTATTATTTTTATAATCAGAGTTATTATTTTTCTAGAGGACCTTGCGTTTACTTGTTTTTTACTGACTTATTAAATTTGACGCGGTTATTATTTATACATAAAATTAAGAAATACATCCAGTAATTTTCTTAATTTTGTTTTTTGTGACCAATAAGGCAAACCTTTTTGACAAGGACTAAACCCCAGTCCTACATCCAGACAACAATGATATGTAAATACATTTATAATAGATTTATTTTAGACAATTTAATTACCTGTGGCGTGTTAGACGTTATATCGGGCACCATGTCGGGTCTCTGTCGCCGTCCTTGTATGTTTATGGGAGAGGAAACTTGGTGACCTTCAGGCGCATGCTGTTAACAGGATCATATATGTTACACCCAACCCAATATAAATGAAATATATAATGTTTAAACGGAACACTATGCGTTTAGAAAGTGGACGAAATACAGAGAAATTGACATTAAATGCCGAAAATAAATGACAATATGTGAGTAAGATTCTTTCTCTCTCAAACACACACACAAACAGTCATGAACATACATGATATACATACAAATTGAATTCTAATTTGTAATGTACATAAGACAGTATTTTAAATATCTAAATTGTATTTATTAATAATTATGATAAATATAATTTAAAAGAAAACATAAGAAAAAAAATAATTTTAAAATAACTGATTCTGCTTTTTTGCATTGTGCAATTTATATTGTTTTTGTACTTCCTAAATTTTGTTCTCATATTTATTCCATTTGCCACGACATTTAATTTTTTTTTTAATTACTAAGTCTGAAAACCTGTTATGGCTTTCACTAGAAATGTTGATAATTTATTGGATAGGAAGCAAAAGTAGTTAATTTTCTTTTAGATAAATCATTAAAAATCATGTGAAAACTTTGGAACAGTCATAGTAATTTTTTTTTAATCTACCGCTCATTCGGAAATCTGTCTCATAAGACTAACGAGCAACTTGCGTGTTGCTCTTTTAATTAATTGTTGTTACATGTGTGAATTATTGGTAATTATTCATTGTTAAGTACACAATTACACATTACAGTAATAAAAAGTACAATTTATACGATATTAGAAATATAAATGAGCCATGTACATAATGCAATTTTAAACAACATTCAAAATTAATTCTTATAGCTTTGTTATAAGGTTCCTATTTCAAGAGGTAGCAATCAATAGAAATTCATACATTTACAAAAAATAATGGAAAAATAGTTACCAAATGTTCAGATGGAGGTCTTTCTACGTGATGAGGCGAAGGCGTCGCTGTACTACCGTCAGCTTTCGAAGTCTTCCCTGGAGATGACACCACTGTTGTAGGGCGACGTTTCTCTCGTCCCTATTGTATGAAACACCCTTTTAACCACCTAATTGGTACAGTTACGCACTGCCATGTTATCCGACAGTTGCGGGTTTGATACCCGGACAATAATAATAATTATATAGTGAAATATATATATATATATATGTGTATATATAATAGTATATATTTATATATATGTGCGGTACACCCTTAATTTAGAATTTAAAAAAGGGAGATATACGCAAAAAACGCGGTTTCCATATAAATATATAAAATAAGAATAATATATTTATTTTCCATTCAACAACGTCCCATCAGTTCTTTCCGTGCACCCAATGAATATTATTATTATTATTACAATGTATATGTATAATTGTATTAATTATATAGCGAAGTATATATATATTTATGTGTATATATATATATATATATATATATATATATGTCTTTTGTATTTATTGGTCTCCATATAACGGTACATGAGATAAAGCTCCATCCTCCATAGAACGCTTTAGATATTAATGTCACTATTGGAAGTAAAAACTTGTATATATTTTACTGAATTAGGTGTTTTTGCGTCTATTTCAATAGTTAATAGATTTATATTATGTTTATGATTAATTCTGCTACCATTAGCATGTGTGAGACCATAAATTTTCAGTGCGGAAACCTAACGATACGACCTTCTTTATTGGCGATCAAATTCCGAATATTATAATTTCCAAATTAGTGAGTGTACATCTACATTGCGACACGTGTTTCTCCTCTGAACTAGGCATCATCAGGCATTGAATAGAGATATAACCTTGTGTTGACTGTTCAATTGAGGAATAGAGTTCGGATATAACCTTGTGTTGACTGTTCAATTGAGTCGCAGTTAGGTCGCCGTAACGGTTACAGAATTAAACAAAATATTATAAATCCCTTAAGTAATAAAAACGAATAGCAAAATTAACTTACTGGATTAACTAATTCCGCACTCAATCCAAGGTACTGGTGTAAGGCCGTGAATGTAACTCTTTGAAGACGCACCATGATTATCTGAAAAGAAAATTGTTCGTCTTAACTCGTTGATGAGAAACATAGAAGAGCACAGTCCTATATGACGGTCCGACCAAATCCACATATCGCCGGGGGGAATGGAAATTGTTAGTAATTTGGACTGGTGACCCTATTGCTGGCAATGTACCATGGCAGGTTGACATCCACGCGGTTCTCTCTTAATGGGCTGACTGACATGACCTCATGTTCATCTATCCTCCACTGGTCCCCTGCCAACGTAAACCGTTAGCGCAGGCTGGAGCATCATTCCATTATCATCCATTAAAAAAATCCACAGATCGCTCTATATGATGAAAATATATGAGATGATAGATGAATATATACTTTTATACACATTTAGTAAAAATCTGTTAATTTAAAATTACGATTATTCACTTCAATTTTATTTGCAAACTGTATGTGAGTATGGATGGATGTTTGTTACCCTTTCACGCAATAACATAACGCTCGGGTAAAACCGCGGGCACAGCTAGTATGTATATATAAGGTGGCAGTTACCTGTATAACTCGTACGAATATATCAGGATACTCCTTGAAGACCTCTTGGAAGGCACGCATCGGTAGTTTTATCACTTGGGAATCCTCTAGTGCTTTTGCATTCACAGTTTTGTATGGTTGAGAGTGACCCTATAATGTTAACAGATGTCATGTCCGTGATGATGTTTTATGTAATTTATTTTTCAAAGCAATTATCGTATACATGATAATTGCTTTGAAATAAAAAATTACATAAATATTAATACAAATTACTATAAATTGAGTCAAGTTATCACTTATAACTTGACGCATTTTGTAGTAATAGATGTTTTTTTTTTCATTTAATTTCTTGGGTGATAGCCCTTGGATACCAAAAACGTCCGCAATATAGTTATGTATAGAATGCTACATTTACAACCAATTCTGTATATTAAGTGTATTAAGATTTCTGTATTCTAATAATAAGTAATGCTCATAAATAAACCTCACATTCATTATATTTCATTTCAGGTGCAAAAAAGAGATCGCAATAAAAAAGAAAAATGAAATATTCTTTCAATAAAAATAATAATAATATCTACTCACTGTGAGCACGTCGGTGAAGCTAAGTAGTGACGTCACGCTCTCGCCAGCACGCACCACCTTGAGCGAGAGGCTGCTCCCTTCCTGGTTCGTGATGTACACATTCACACGGCCCGTTTGCACTACGTACACATTCTCGTCCGTGTCGCCTGTAATACATGTGTAAGAAGCACTAATTAATGATAACAACTTAGGCTTTGAAGCCGGCTACCGCAAGTGAAACCCCAAGTAGCGCCCGGGACTTGTGACACGGGTGTAGGTTTAAAAGGCCCTTTTAGAATGCATTAACACTCACCTTCACTACTTGTAGCTGCCCCCCAGACCCAACTAAGACCGGGATAAACCCATTTCTAATACAATTCATTTTAGTATACAAAACACAACCGGTACGCTCTGCGCTCGTCGACTGAATGCCGCGGCTCACACAAACGAAAGAGGATTATTCAACTACCGACCTCCATATTTATAGACCGAAGTCAGTGCAGTAGGTCGGTCTGCAAATACTAGATGGCGCTATTTACAATATTTGTAATAATATTTACATTGTGTACTTTATTAGTACTAATGACAAACTACCTTCTTTTAATATGTTTTTAAAATATCGGATTTTTTTCTACAATATTGATGTAAACGCTAACACATGGTTTTTTATATATCTGGATTGGTGAAGACCAAAGGTAGATAGCAGGCAAAGGTAGATTACCTCAGTCTCACCTATTTCATGCTATCGTAAGACGTGTTTAGATTATACATAAGGTGATTGTGAAGATTTATAATATGTAACACATTTACACACACATACAAATATAGGGTTACAAACACTGATTACATATTTTATAGATAGGCTATTTACTTTTGACAAAATTGCAATAGCATATACTAGTGGCACTCTATTACATATATAATAGTTCACATAGGGCTGAAGGCATAAGTTTTAGTCCGCCGTTATCCAATAGAAAATTCAGTAATTAGCATCTGTGGACAAAATTCAAGATTCCTTAGCTAAGGATTCTACAGTCCCTTTAAACACTATGGTACTCAACAATGCACCTTAGAAACAATGAAATTATAACTAAATTGATGTAGTAGTGCATAGTTTACGATCCTCGTAAAAAAATCCAGTCCTTCTCTACATAATATTAGCATACATAACGCAGATAATTGGAATGATCGTCTGGCACTTATTAAAAAAGAGATAATAGACAAAGAACATCTAGGCCAAATTTAATCTTCAGATAAAATCTTATTTATTGTTATCTAATCGTAATACAAAACAAAGGAACATGACATCATGGCATTACAGGATACCGGCTAGAAACAGCCGATCAAGCAAACAGATAACTAAATCCAGGGGCAGAATGAAAGTAACAAAAATTACGGCTTAAATGTATATAAAACTAGTTGCTCACCCCGACTTTACACGGGTGTACTAACAAAGTTACAACTTTACAAGAAAATGCACAATTGACGGTCTTCGTGGTCTAGCAGTTTATCACACTTTACTTCTGATGGTCGTGGTTTCGATTCCATTCAATATATGGGATGTTCATCCCAATTTTTTTCTATTTATATGAGTGGTAGATAACGCTTTTATAGCATTATGCCCGTTTTTGTACCTTGTTCATTGTTAAACCTATTTATTTTTAAGTTTGGAAGCTGAAAACACTGTCACCTTTATAAAAAAAAAAGGAAGTTCGATATCGCTTAACGGTGCAAACGTTATTGTTTTTTTATTTGTAAATTTCTCGTAATTGTCGATGCTTAAGCACATTTATCTCATAAAAAAGTTATATACTGTTATTTGTTCATTACCGAAGAACTAACTGAAAGCAAGGGTCTGTAACAGTGGAGAACACCTGTAATCGGTGTTGGCGGAAGAAAGGTAACCCGGTCAAAAGGTAAGTTGGAAAGCCCAGTTAAAACAAAACCTGCAATTGTTAAACCTCAAGGTGAGTGCTCTCCATAATAATCAACCTTTTGCTCCTAACACAGTTCACTACATGAATGTAAATCTAACGGATGCCAGTTGCTTTAAAAAAACATACCATATTTAACGTAGATCAACTTTACTTACCGACTTTAAATAAGAAAGCGCCCGCGGGTAAGTTTAGTATCTCTGTATGTTTGCACAGCATCAGGAACACTGGTTTCTCGAAGTGGCCGAACACCCTTATGCTGTGCAGCATATACAAGGCGTCAGGTGGCACTCTGTCGTCACTGGTCAAGTCTTCCTCGAGGTATTCTGCTGGGGGCTCCAGCACCTGCATTGAGGGGAAGAATATTGTTACTAGATTCTCCAAGGTGTACGTTTATCTATCTATCTATTGTGAAAACCTCGATATCAAGTTCATCATCATCTTCATCATCGTTAACATGATCACCGACGTGACAAAGCCACTCATGGTCAAGGTCACGCAGGCGTCGATAGCGTGCAATGCAATGTCATATCATGTTTACATGCATGAGACCAATGTATTGTTTGTCACACATTGAGGTCACCACAACTATGTAACACTAGCTATACTATACTAGCTTCTGCCCGCGACTTCATTTGCATGGAATAGGGACCTTGGATAGCACAAAATAATTAATAATCAAACTAAAAAACCTAATGAAAAAAGGTCCATCGTTCTAGCTTCATAAATTCCAAACTGCCATCACCAATTTTATTTCACCTCCTTAAGGGTAAAACGTTTACCAATTTAGAACGTTATTTCTATTTATATTCAATCGAAAGCCAAAAAAATAATACTCTAGCTACTGGCTTTAAAAATGACGATACTTCCTTACAACCTTTCATTTCCCCTTTCAACCTATTACAACCCTTTTTTCACATTAAAAAGTAACCTATGTCCTTTCTCAGGGTTTAGAATATCTGCGTACGAAATTTAATGTAAATTGGTTCAGTAGTTTTGGCGTGAAACCGCGGCAGACAGACGGACAGAGTTACTTTCGTATTTATAATATTAAGTAAGGATGATAATATCATCATATGATTATACTATAATATGATAATGCTATTGTTATTGACAATATAAGTAACAATTGTCTACAAATAACAAACAATTTGAACAAATATTGAAATAAGAAAAACACTTTAGACACGAAACTTATGTAAATGACATAAGTGTAATAGTACTGTTTACTGATAACTAAGCATGCGATGAAAAAATAATCATAATCTTGACCTTTATATATTATACTAACTCTCCCGGCAAACGTTTTGCCATGAAAATAAAAAAATAGGGGTTGGTGATATAAGGGTGTTCAAATTTTATGTTATACTAGCTGTACCCGCGACTTCGTCCGCGTGGAATTTAACTTTATTTATCTAAAATAAAAGTAGCAGAGGTTACTCCTTATTACATCAGCTACCTGCCAAAAAAAGTCCCGTCAAAATCGGTCTAGCCATTTCAGCCGGAACAAACAGACCGACAGACAAACAGACAAAAATTGTAAAACATGTTATTTTGGTGTATATACCTTATTTATATTCATATGCATGTAGTAATAAACTGTTATTTCAATGTTATAAACAGACACTCCAATTTTATTTATATGTATAGATGTATAGATAAGGGTGGCCCTACCCAAAAATAATTCATATGGAAAAACAAGGTTTGCCAACAAGTCAATAAATACCAATTTCGCACCTTAAGTTGTTCAGGCGCAGACTCCTTTTTCAACTGCAGCAGTTTTCTGGCAAACCGCATGACTGCCCGCCTCTTTCTGCCCTGACCAGAGTTCGAGATGGATTTCACTTTCCTCAGCATCCTGCGGCCGTAGAACAGCATCTTGTCACGTTTGCGGAAACGCTTCGCTGGTTCCCCAGCGGCACCGGCCGCGCCCGTTATTCCTGATAATTCTGGTTACAGATTTAAAAGAGTAAATTTTTAAAAAATACAAGATTACTAGTATTAATATACTCATATTACAAAAAGAGGGAGTAGTTTTTTTGTTATGAAAAAACAAAACCCAACATAGCTTAGATGTTTTTAAGTTACGCCCTTATTATCCATACAATGAAGTTCCATGCTCTTTTTTGCATTTTATTTATTTAGTTTATTTTCTTAAATTTATTTAGATTAATTAGATTGGTTTTATAACTGATTCCTATGCATAGCATGAATCTCAAAAACTTCAGTGAACAAAAAAATAATACTTAAATATTTATTATTATGTCCATATATATAGAATTTAGTGTTCGACCGAAATTTTCTATTTCGGACAATTACGGCTAGTATTTGTTTCTGTAGCTAATCGGCCGAAATATAATAATATCAACAGTAGTAGACACCTTTTAACGCCTTACTCTCCTAATCACTGTGACAATACTGGCCAACCGGTTTGGTACACAGAACCTAATTGTCTGACTGTCTTGATATCTTGCACTAGTGTTTTGCACCAATATTGTTTAGGTATAGTATATGTATTCTGTATTTATTTACCTTTTGCGCGCCATCTTCTGTAGTAATAGAAACATACAACTAGTAAAGACACCAGCAAACACCCGCAAAATGACCACAGCAACTGAAAACAATACATAAAACAATTCATTATTTTTACTAATATTATTTCCACAGAAAAAAAAAATCAAATTTCACTAAGATCCATCGTTGTCGATTCCTAGTAAGTATTATCATGACGGCTAACTGACCTGGCCACATGCTCATCCTATCATCTTTCACTGGTGCCTACTATGTACATTACATGAAAAATTTTATGGTAAACGTCAGCAGAGGTAAATACCTTTATTTACCATATAATTTCAATCATGTTAAGACTCAATTATATTATTATAATATATTACTAACTAGCTTTTGCCCGCAGCTTCGCTCGCGTCAATTTATCCCCTTAGGGGTGGAATTTATCAAAATCCTTTCTTAGGGGATGCCTACGTTATAGTAGCTTTATGCATGCAGTCTCAGTCCGATCGGTTTAAAATTGACAGTTTCATACAAACTTTCATCCCCTATTTTATCCCTTTGGGGATAGAATTAATATCTTAGCGGATGTACGTCATAACATGTATTTGCCAAATTTCAGCCCTTTTGCGTCCGCCGTTGATAGATCACTACGTCAGTCACCTTTGAGTTATATATATTTAGATTAGAGGTCCCAAACATTTAACAGAGTACAATAATTATACTTATGCATTAATTCTTTGTTTTTCATAATTGACAGATAACGCAGACTTTGATATCACTATCAACATATCATCTTATCATCTAAAGACGAACTTCTTATCATTCGATGGATTCACCGTGCGGGATTTGTATCCATCGAGTGACAGAGGGAAACTTGTGACCCGCTACTCGAACCATTACACTATTAAATCCTTAAAGAGTGATCGAATGACCAACATAAAAAAATATGTACACACATACAAATACCCAATCAGGGGGAAAAAGGATTGTTAGAACCTAATGTGGATTAATAACCCCATTGCTAGCAACGTAGCATGTCAGGTTGACCTCCACGCGGTTCCCCCTGGAAAACGTCGTCATAAATTTCTAGTGAATTTGCCACGATAGGCTAACTGACCTGACCTCCTACCCATCTTATCATGCTGTGCTAGTACCTCGCCAGCATATACCGTTTTTTTTATGGATGATAATGGAATGGAGTACCCACCTGCGCTAACGGTTTACGCTGGCGGGGCACCAGTGGAGGATGATAAAATGAACATAAGGTTATTTACCATCGTGATAAATTCACGAAAAATTTATCGATGTTTCAATTATATTATAATATATTACTCGTGGAGGCTTTTGCCTGACATGGTGCATTGTTAGCAATAAAATCGTCAGTCCACATTACTAATAATCCCCTTTCCCCAAAAACCATACCATTATTATCCCTTTAAAAAATACCCAATCATTACTATCCACATTAATAATAATAATAATAATCTGAAGACAATTTACACAGCGCCATCTAGACCCAAGTTAAGCTAACTAAAGCTTATGTTATGGGTACTAGATGACTGATACAAATAAATATATATACACATAGATAATTTTTTTTCGTAAATACATATATATTATACATAGAAAACACCCAGACTGATACAAACAATCATACTCATGAATACAAATGTTTGTACAATGCGAGGAATCGAACCCACGACCATCGGATAGTAAAGCGGTATGCTAAACCACTAGACCACCGAGGCTGGAACGAGGACGAGGAACGAGGCTCAACATTAATAGAAAGGATAGGATACCGGAGAATTTCCTTTACAGACAGCAATTATAGACCGCAGTAACATTTTAAATAATATTACACAATCAGAAATCATTATCTATTTTATATTAGGCGCGATAAATATTTTTGCGGCGAAGACCAACGACTTACTGTACAGTCATTGAACTTCGATGCAAAATGGCATTGTTAATGATTATTTCAATTAAAAAAATACACAGAGTCCGAAAATAAAACCCTTATGCTTTTTTAAAGCCGGTTAAAAATGAGCCAATTTATAAGGACCCTGGACATATCACATAGCGCCATCTAGTGCCAGACTAAGTAGATCATGTACTAAAGGTACTAGACAACCTTAATATAATATTATTAACGCGAAAGTTTTTAAGTGTGGATGTTTGTTACTCTTTCTCTTTCCGCAAAAACTACTGAACAGATTTTGATGAAACTTTACAGTAAAGAGCATATGCGTCAGAATAACACATAGGCTATATTTTATATTGAAATTTAACACGGATGAAACCGCGGACACAGCTAGTATGATGATATATATTTAACCGAAATGGACGGTAGGGATAGGTATATAATTTTAAATATTAATTTCGTGTTTATACACGCAAAACATTGTTTTCAAGACATTCTTATGAAAAAAATTTTAGTCAATCATTTATAAACAGAAATCACAATAATGAAAAATGGTGAAAAAAAAAAGTAGCTACAGTTGTAGCAGAATTGCAGCATGAACATGACTGTGATAATAATTTTACCACAGTGGTAATATACAGGTCAATATGCACCTGACTCAGCTTATAATTACGTACCCAATATTCGTTAAACATAAATCACAATATTGAAAAATGGTAAGACAGAAAAGTAGCTACAATTTCAGCAGAAATGCAGCATGGAAAATATAAATTGTGATAATTTTACCACAGTGGTAATGTACAGGTCAATATGCACCTGACTCAGCTTATAATTACGTACCCAATATTCGTTAAACATAAATCACAATAATCAGCAGAAATGCAATGGAAAATATAAATTGTAATAATTTTACCACAGTAATATACAGGTCAATATGCGCCTGCTCACAATTACGTACCCAGCTGAAATGCAGCATGGAAAATATAAATTGTAATAATTTTACCACAGTGGTAATATACAGGTCAATATGCGCCTGACTCAGCTTATAATTACGTACTCAATATTCATAAATCGTACCATACGAGGTAGATAAATTAAACATAGATATTTTTTAGTCTCGGACAATGCGAACTCAATCAAGGATAATAACGTGGACATTTTTATTGATACCAGCTGTGCCCGCGGTTTCACCTGCATAGATTTGTTTAGTAGTTTTAGCGTGAAAGAGTAACAAATATCCATCCATGCAGTCACAAATATTCGTGTTTATAATATTAGTAAGAAATGTTACTATTCCGTAGATGATTATTACAGTGATGACCAGAAAGACTACAGTTGGAGGGAAAGGAGATTGTTAGTAATGTGGACTCATGACCCCTTTACCAGCATTGTACCATGTCAGGTTGACCTCCACGCGGTTCCCCCTGGAAACAATTGTGATAAGTTCGTGGTGAGGTTGTCACGATGGGCTAACTAACCTGACCTCATGTTTATCTTATCATCCTCCACTGGTGCCCCGCCAGCGTAAACCGTTAGCGCAGGCGGGTGCACCATTCCATTATCATCCGTAAAAAAAATTAAAAAAGATCGATCGATCACATAGTAACAAATCACAATGTTTTATACGATAACTGACTGGTAGAGAATACTTTTGGTATAAAATCCGCCTTTTTAACACGTGTGTAGTTTAATTCGTTCATAATGTTACTAAAGTAAATAAACTATTTATGTGACAAACCAGAAACACCCATCTCTACATATATTTATTCAATGTACACTTACAGAGTAGGTATACAGAAATTATTTTAAAATTAAAACGGAATAACACACAAATAAAATACATTTTTTAATTTTTAAATAAGACGCTTTTAGCGGATTCAACTGTCAGATTTAAAAACTATAAAATGAGAACCAGCATTTACCAAATATATGTATGTTGATTGTTGACTGTTGTTAATTAGTTGTATTCATACCTCAAATATTACTGATAATTTTATAAACTCTTTCTGAGCTGTATATTACGCCGGAAGCGAATCGAAACAGCTGTATAGCTAAATATTTATCGCGTAACCGAATTCTAAATTCAAATTCAACAATTAAAAATAAATATAACAATACAAACGAGATTCACAGACTGGCAATTAACACGTTGGCACAAATGACACATAAACCGTATTCTAAATTCAAAATATGTATCAATAAAAAAACAAACCCACCACTGTAACTAACATGGCGAAGGTCTAGAGACTGTTAAAATCACTTTGGCACAAGCGACTGTTTACGTTTAGATATCACGCTACACTGATCAAGTATCAACACAAAGTCCTTGCGCATGCAACTTGTAGGCACTCTTTGTTGGCGCAAGCAGTATATTTTTTATTGAGAAATTGCGAAAAACATTAATTAGTTCACGTGTCTATCCTCAAGACAGATTCTTTATAGTGTAGATCCGAATGCCATTTTCTTTTCTATCAGGCAACACATAAGTAAATTTATACCAGTAATTGTTTAATAAATGTTATAGTTTAATTCTTATTGATAGTCATCTTCATGTGACCAGTTAGTGAAATAATATTTCACTCTGAAGCACAGCACACAAGTTTAAAAAATCAATATTAAAATATAGAGTATTTATGAATGGAAATATGTATAAATCAGTTTAAGCTACGTATGATTTACCAGAACTAAATCTTCATTAAACGTTATGAATACTATAAATTTTATAAGATTTCGTGTGTGTGGTAACGGCGTGAGATAATCTACACACGTAGTGTCAACATCAGTAGGTGGTCGAGTGTTTGACTGTTTACCGTCCCTGATAAGAATTCAACAATGTATCCACATATAACATTAAAATTAATCAGTTTATTTGTTATAGTAATATTTATTTATTAGTGATTAGGTGTTTTCTTTCAACACCTTTATCAGACCTTGGGAACGAAATGTTCTAGAGAAAAATATATTCCCTGACACACCAATTTTAGCTTTAGATTGTTTCATACTTTTCCCCAGGAAGGGGACTGTTAGCATTGTGGACTAAGGATCCCATTGCTAGCAGTATACCATGCCAGTTTGACCGCAGCTCGATTTCCCCCTGGATACCATCGTGATAGATTTCTGGTGAATTGGTTACATTGGGCTAACTGACCTGAATTCATGCTCATTTTATGATCCTTCACTGGTGCACCGCTTTAGCATTATTTACCTCAAAATGTTGCAACGACTTTAGCGCATTCGTTCACATTTTTTAGATCTTCTTTGTGCAGGATGATAGGCATGGACAGAAGTAGGTGGGTCATAATCTGGTATGGTGCTCCGCAATCACAAGTTTCCTTTGAATCGATACTCAATTTGACTAAGTTATACATACGTTTAATTCTACTATAAATGTATTTATATACACTAAAGACATAATTTCATAAGCGAGTTTAATACTAACTAAGGCATTCCAGCCGCACCTATCTGTGTAAGCTAAAAAAGTACATAGCAAATTGCTAATATTGACCCGTGTTTACACATAGTATTTAAACGGTACCAATGCTTTCCTGAGTTTATGTACACATATTGCGAAACTGTGATATTGCCTACTTTGTCCTTAAAATGAACAATAAATTATAGAAACAACTCAATACCATCAGTTTTCAAACATAATCATAATCGATACATTTAGGAGCTAAGACGCCAAAGAGTTGGCCTTCAGCCGCTCCATAAGTTTTTCCACGGATTTGGAACGCCATCTGCACTCACCCTCTATCGTCCGGTGAAATTGTAAAGGCTAGCTGCGGCCAACAGCATTACAGTTGTACGCAAAAAAAACCATTCCATTATAATCCAAAAATACTCAAATATAATCTTGATAATTAAATAGACAATGACAATTATATTATGTTGTTTATACATGTAATAACATATCAAACAATACTAACAAAAACGTAGGTATTAGACATTTGTACGCAAAAACGTTTAGTGAACTTTGTATTTGATGCTTGTTACATTATCATAACACAGGACAAAGCAGATGATATGAGAAATTATCAAATTCGTCATACCTGCCTCACTTCAACAAGGTCGATTGGTTGCCGAAGGTCACGAGTTCAAATTTCAATATGTATCCATTTTTTTTACTACTATGATGGCATACAACGTGGCTACTGTAGCCTATGGACGCCTGAGACACCATTTTTATAAAATAAAGTAAAATTACATTAATTTCATCACTGACTGATCTATGAATTTAAATTATGAACATATTTTGTTTATTTTATTGTACTATGTTTTTACCGTCATCAAAATAGAAAGTTCTCAATTTGATTGCTCTATTGTTTTTTTTGTAATTCTTTTTAAATCGAATGCGTTATCTTCACAAAAAACAAGCCAAGGACTTAAAACATTATCTATACATAATAAAAATGTCTAATCCCTGTTTGTGTATGAAATATGGAAATATTTTTTTTAAAAGTCGTTTAATATATTATGGTAAGCATTACTTAAAAATTCATGTTTGAACAAACACGCACGAAATCACGGGCTCAGATAGTAGAGAAAAAAAATACTATTTCATACTATAAAAAAATAATTTACAATGAACTTGTGCGTCTACACTCCTTTACAACATAACAATGAAGTTGACAAAACATTAGGGCAACAACCTTGACCATTGTGTAATAAAGTTGGTGTCTAAACCTAATAACGTTGTTATGAGTGATGTGTGTATTCATAAAAATTATCATACATTTATTACTTATGTAAATTCAATTCTATTATGTATTTGTATTTACGACTTTATATAATGTTAAAATAACACTACTAATGTCTGATATGTAGGTACATAATTTATGAAGAATTTGTTAATCATGTTAAGAAAATATTTTTAGCAAATGAAATTTTACACATCAAGTATGTATCTGAAATATAATTAGTGTTTTTCATTATTATTATTATATATATATTTTTTATATATTATTAGCTTAGACAAGCGTGGATGAGTCTAAAAGTTATATATGAGGATGATGCATGTGATAATGATTATTAACAGTGGACCCCCGGTAGTCCGACAATCATTTTGCAAGTGTCGGACTATGTATTTGAAATATAATTAGTGTTTTTCATTATTATTATGATGATTCTTTTATATATACGTATTACCCATACTACGTTTTAGTAGTGTCGGACTAATTTACGATTAAACACTGCGGGCTGCTTATAGAATTTTTTACAAGCGTTGGACAAATTGAGTGATAAAAGTTATATGAGGATGATGTATATTGTCAAAGTAATATTCAATAACAATGATTATTATTATTTCCATTATTTTAAAGAAATAAGTCACTAGCACCAATTATCCTAGTAGTTAGATATGTATTTCTAATTTAATTATATTGCTTTATTTGCATTAATTTAAAGAAATTTTCTAATCAGAAATGATACGATTTATACTAATATTATAAAAACAGAGAGTGAATTTTGTTATAAGGAAAATAAAATCACTGCACTAATTTATGAAATTCTTTCAGTGTTTGAAAGGTACATGTATTATATTGACAGCCACGGTGGTCTAACGGTTTACTTCCGATGGTCGCGGGTTCGATTCCTCTCACGATGCAAACATTTGTATTTATATATATTTATTTGTATTTTGTTTGGGTGTTTTCATTGTATATTATTTTATGTAGTTACAAAAAAATATATCTAAATATTTATATCAGTTATCTAGTACCCATAACACAAGCTCTGCTTACTGTGGAACTAGATGGCGCTGTGGTTATTGTCGAGGGGTTATTTATTATTTATATTATTCCAGAGTGATACAGGCTATATATTATATTAATACTTGTATATACAAAACACTAAAGTTCTGAGCAGAATGGTGCATCACTACTCGTTTATAATTGGCACAGATAGATACAATGTAATATGCAGGTCAGTTTCAGAACACTATCTCTCTACAATTGTTTATAACTATTAATTATCTATACTTTAGGACCAACATATGTATATGCAGTACAGTTATTTTACATTGTAACAATCAATTTAATTTAATTAAACACAATATAATTACTCCACAGCATTCTTATTTATCACTAGCTGTACCCACGACTTCGTTCTCATGGAATTTAACTTTATTTTTCTAGAACAAAGGAATTTTTCAAAATAAAAGTAGCCTAAGTTATTCCTTATCACATCAGCTACCTGCCAAAGAACTCCCGTCAATAACGCCATTTCAGAGATTAGGCGGAACAAACAGACATACAGACAAAAATTGTAAAAGATATTATTTTGGTATATGTACCGTATTTATATTCATATGCATGTAGTAAATAACAGTTATTTCAATATTACAAACAGATAGTCCAATTTTATTTATATGTATAGATTAATCATTAATTAGAGAAACCCCAGTTTATACCTATAAACATTCCCCAAAAATCAGTCTATTAACTGAAAATCCCTTTAGTAGTTTTATCTGTGAGTCATGTAGAATATCATGAACATACAGACTGTATTACAATTTATGTAGATCAGTAATAACTGAATCATCATTTGCTGATTAGTGATTGATGATTGAAGACACATTTGACATAGGTTCTCTGTCCTCCTAGATGCTGGCAGATATAAAAAATAGGAACACAAGGCTGAATATATATCGGATTATACACATAATGTAAATTGATTAAATCAATGAATTTTGTTTTAGCTAGGACAATCATAATAGCATCGATTTTATAACAGATTATCATAAATAATATTATCATTGGTAAATATTCCACTTATACCATTGTAAATGGCCTTATATTAATTAACCACAAAAAAAATATTCAGGATAAGGAAACCTTTATTTGTCATAAAATTAATCCTGTCAAAACTCCATTAATGATATAAATAATGTATAATAAATATGAAAGTTAAAAAAAAATAGAAAGGATAAATTATCAATCTACTCAGAAGAAAGAAGAAAGAAAAATATTTTATTCAGTGCAATGTTACTGTACAACAGAACATTATTATTACTAACTCTTCTGGGCTAGGCGGAGGAAATTGGCCCGATTTTCCTCATTTTATAAGAATATATATAGGTTTGACCTTCTGTTTAACCCAAGAGTCAAACACTCAATCAAAAAGAGGAATATAAAAATTCCACTGCAGTTTTTTTATAAAAACAACTTTATACTGTATAAACCATAATATTAATATTAAAATATGATACATGAGGTGGAATTAATGCTAATGCATTCACAAACAGTCGACCTTTCTGGAATTCAGAGATACTTCATTGTGGTATAACAATAAATATGTTGCATAGAGGAACATTACTGTACATACACTATCTCAGTTAAACTCTAATGCTCGGGATGGTAGAATATTTATTTTAAGTTGCTAATGTTTCTCTTTGGAATCCAATATTATTCTAGTAATAATACTAGCCAGTTCATCCATGACTAGTGCCGACCGGAATCACCTAAGTGCTCATGCATTTTGTTTTTAATATAATACTATATATGTATATCACTCTAGAATATAGTATATTACAAACAATAAAACATTTTTTAAATTGTTCAAGTATTTTTTTAGTTTATCAAAGACAAATGTATTAATAATCAAATGTTTTTTTATTAGTATAGAGCATAGATTTATAAATATTTGAAGAACATTTAACATACTGATATATATTTTGATGACAATTTTCTTTTAAACTGTTGTTATTTTATCAATACACTTACATCAGAGAGCTAGTTTATTAGTTGAAAAGTATCTCAAATTTGGACATCATCCCTGATAAAAGTACTCATGATAGTTCTTTTAATGAGTTAGTTTAAGAATTATAAAAAGGTAGCAGTAATTTTAATTATAAGAAATAAAGTATTCGCAAAAGGCCATTAGCATTGATAAAAACAACTCAAGGATTTCTTATATTTAGATTATAGTTACAATATGTTATCTAACAAATTGTAATGTAAGATCATATACAAATAAAAAATGATAATTATTTTAACAAGATCCATTCATATCACGGCACTCTGTAAACTTAATATTTAGTAAGTATAATAAATCAATACCTGATTCTCTTGAAAATTGTTAGTCCACTCCGATGTCCATGTTGTGACAGCAAACATATCGGATTTGTCATTAATATTGTTCAAAAGACCAACCACGTCCATTTTGAATTATATACAAAATATACTATTAAACATTAGAAAATAATTTCCGCATTTTCAAGCGATAAATCAGCTGTGCTGTTTGACAAATAATAATAGTAATGAATGAATGTGACAAAGAAAAGGGGAAGGGAAGTAAGCCGTAGGAGGGGAGCTATGTCATTCGGTCCTTCATATTTTTTGGTGGTTTTTACGGCTCTGGCTATCAATCTTTTAGAGCTGTCTCTTATTCTTTATGCAATGACATCAAAATCGCAATAATAAATAATAAGGGATCAGAGAGTTCTACGGCAGAAATAGTCTTAACATGTTTATCATTTGTTAAACCAACTACACTTCTCGCATTCCAGGGATAAGTAATGGTGAAGATATGTTGTATGCCATGCCTTCCTTATTAGTTAGTTAATAAACTTGATTATGACAATGTTTCTTATCAAAAAAATATTTATAAATCATACAAGGATTGACTGACTTAACTGGGTCTAATGTACTCAATCACAGTACTGAAAAGTAAGTAAGAAAACAAATTTAATCATAAGAAATTGTTTAGGCCACCACCATCGCCAACAAGCACACATAATTCATTGTGTAAAGAAACATTAAATATATATATTTTATAATATGGCTTTTCTTTCGGTCTTAGTTTTTAAAGTAGTTAACATTATTTGAGTGTTTGTATTTTAAACAAGAAAATTGTGATTGTAATCTTTTAAGTAAAACATATATTTTTTTCACGCAAAAGACGATTGTGGGATAAATGACAAACATTCAGGAATCCTCACACACTACCGACCTTATTCGAATTAAAGCTAGTCCATATGCAGATATCACAGAATGATATCTGATTAAAACATTAGATATTTTTAACGGAATTCAAACAGCGTAGCCGATTACATTACACATTTTAATCATTTAAATTTTACAGTTGATAATAGTAACACTGATTTCATTCATTCGTTCTTAAAATACTAGTGGTGCCCTCAATTGGTTACTTTTAAAAACAAAAATAAAATATTACTCGCCATATCTATCGTTTTGGATTGTTATCTTCACATACTACCCTGAAAAACTCTAATGGGTATATTTAATTATCTACTCTATAATTATATTCAGAATATAATATATTAATGATTTTAATTTATAAATTAGATTTGTCAATTAAAATCAATAATAAATTATGACTATAATGTTGTTGATTAAAATAATAATCATCAAAAAGGAAATAAATTAATTGTCACCATTTAATCGACAAACAATTTATATATTCCGTGATAGCAAAACTTGTGCTATGTATTATTTAATTATGCTTGTGCTATGTATAATTTAATGTTTATTATTTTCGTTATAAATTTAAAAGTGCAATTACAGTTTAATAATGATAATATTAATACTAATAAAAAATAATGTAAATAAATAAGTTTTTATGGTCTGTACATATATATAAATACAGAACAACAACAGCAGTCTATTCTGTATTTATTTATTTCATTGATAAATGTAATATTAATCGATTAAAGTATTCGAGTTATCGTTACAGACTGCCTTCATCGCACACATCACTATTCTCTTCTATCTCGTCCTTTCTTGTCATTCGTTCCTTTTTTTCTATAATGATACTTTGATAGTCATTCAGTTATTGGATATTCAACTTTCAACAGTAAAATACTGTTTTCTATTTCTCTTTGTTTTTTACGTCTAATTCTCTTTTTAATATATATTATTAAATGTATTGCTCTTTACAATTAGCTAATCATCAAATATAGTTTATTCTTACCTCACATGGTAAGTAAGTCGCATGTTCTTCAACAAATTTTAATGCATGAAAGATAACGCCAACATGGCGTCAATGTAATTGCGTTCTTTCCTATTTTCTAGATGTCGCGCTATCGTGAGTGGGATCTCTCTTGCAAAGTATACGTCGGAAATCTCGGAACAAATGCGTCAAAATACGAAATTGAGAAAGTATTCTCTAAATATGGAAACATACGGAATGTGTGGGTTGCACGTAACCCGCCAGGGTTTGCGTTTGTAGAATTCGAGGATCCACGTGATGCTGAGGACTCTGTGCGTGGTCTAGATGGAACGTAAGTACTTTAATATTCCTTCGTGTAAGTTATCGATTTGTTATGTGCATCAGGATGGGCGCCATGTCTTCGGCCATTTTGGTTAGACATTTGACCCACATTTTCAACCAATTTCGAAAGGAGGGATTTCGCACATTGCTAAATTTTATGTATTGATATAATAATGTATTGATTTTAGACGTACATTGTAACTTTGTTTTATGAATAATTTAATAGTTTTCTTAGTTTTAGTCTGATGAAAATTTATGTAGGATGGCATTTGTAATTAATTTTCTTTACTATTTGTTTATTTGTATTATATTATATGAACACTAAAATAATTATCTACTGATCAATTAATATATGTGGTTATGTAAATATTCTGTATTTTTACATAAATTTAACACTTAACCATCATGTTAATTAATTAATGATTAAATTCAAATCAAGTTTTTAATGGTGTTATGGTGTGAGACCCTGGTCTCACAAACCTTTAAGGCTTTTAATTCTGTAATATAAAACACTTCAAATTCTTTGAAGTATTATTAATTTACGGACATGCATCCTGGAAAACAGATAAATATAAATTATACACCAAATTTGAACACTATTTTAAACTTCACATGTGTATTAAGCTATTTGTTGCATGTTTATTTTGAACTGTTTAGAAAATGATTTTGATAAAAATTTAATTATAATGAGTTTGTACGTCCTATACACAAGTATAGGAGGGTAAATCTATTAGCAGATTTCAGGCAGTTAGAAATGGTATTTTAGAAATTGCACGCTCCTTAGATCCGTTTCATTCTTAATGTGAAACGCTTGAGTCATAAGTGTGCTAGATTATGGTACCTCCATCTTGAGACTGAGACGTGGCATTCACTGTTGATGGCACTTGTCTTGAAATGGGGAACATTTTAATTATTTAATACACTCCTAATCCTTTGATAATCAGGACTATCTAGTCCCAAGCTAAACAGAGCTTCTGTTAGTTGTACTCACCACTTATAGAAATATTTAAATATGTAAAACATTGTAAATATGCTCATGATATATATATATATATATATGTAATATATAAAACACCGAAACCACTATAGGGACAATTTTTTCTCTTAGATAATTAAATTAAAAATTAAAATCCTATTACACTCCACCCCTATTTACAGAGATATGTTTTCTGCTCAAGTTAAACAGTTGGTCTGTAATAGTGGTGGCAGGGGATTGGTGGTAACTGGAAGAACCACTATTTATCAGCAATGTGCTATGCAAACTCAGGCAATCTCTATGCTGAAACTATCATACTTAACTCCTGGTGTATTTCTCACGGACCTAACTTCTTGCTCATCATCCTCCACTGGTCCTGTCAGCATATACGCGCAGGGGAATAATTCCATTAGAACTTATTAAAATATATATATATATATATATATACATATAACATGGAGTTTGTTACACTGTACAGCTGTAATATTATGCAAATTTAATTTAAATAGATGGTTTTGTGATTTAGCACACCACTTTTCTTCAGACGGTTGCGGGTTCTATTTCTCTCATGGTACAAACATTTGTATTGAGTATGTTTGTATCGGTCTGGGTATTTCCTATGTATATTATGTATGTATTTACAAAGACAAATATTATCTATGTATTAATATCAGTTGTCTAGTACCCATAATACAAGCTCTGCTTAGCTTGGGAATAGATGGCGCTGTGTGAATTGTCCTGAGTTATTATTATTAAATATATTTATTGTTATTTCTTTGTCCATTCAGGCGGTGCTGCGGAACGCGTATTCGCGTTGAAATGTCCAACGGTCGCACCAGAAGAGAGCGCCGGTACTCCAGGTATAAAGCCTTTAATATTTTTTCTAAGGCTAGTAATAAATATATTGCTGACATGTTTGCATATTATTTTCTGAAATCAGTGTTTATATTAGGATACTTAATTAGGAGTGGAAGTTTTCTGTTTAGAACTTTTCCACTCCTATCACGCAAGAAGTGTGGTTTAAGTATTTTATTATAATTTTCTTTTGTTTTATTGAACACATTTTGTAATCAGTTTTAAAAATATTGTTTTTCTTTCTAGTCAAACCATCATGCTCTTAGTTAATACTTGACAAAAAACACCAAGAGGAGCTTTAGTTAAAAATAACTATAAATTTACATATCCTCAATCCTCATTTATATGACACAAACAGTCAATAAGTATTGCATATCATAAATAATATGTGAACATTGTGATTTTGTTAAATATTATTTATTTTATTAGATAAATGCAATTGCATTGTTATTTCTAAAGTAATAATAATAGAAACGTAACTTGAGAAATTAAACGTGGTGGGTGTTGGAACGTTTACAGGTCCATTTTATCAACCAACCACCAACACACCGACCTCACCACATCTCTTCACCACAACTACGGCTCGTTAACCAATAAGACATCCGCGGACGCCGATCGCAACAACATCCCGCTCAACTTCTGCGATCAGCTCTCCAAACTTCTACGCGCAACCGAAGTCTCCAACTGCGTCCTACTGATTCTCCACACAGCCATTACCTAGTCCCACCCTTATCCGAACCTGGACATGAATTACGCATTTGAGAGCCACACAGTAGTATCCTGTAACCATCCTGATTGTCATGCAAATTCCTGATGCTTCACCGTCTGCACACACTCGTCGTCAACGAAGCACCGAGCTTGAATACAACCTTACAACGATCTGCTCCTAGTGTTGCCACAATCTCTCTCGAAACTCCCGGCTAATGCCACCGTTCGTCGGAGGATTACATTGAAACTCATCTTCGCCTCAATACAAGTTAAAATCCCTTCGGCCTCACAGCAGCCCCACAACGATCAACGACCTTCTTCGCAGGCTCACCATGTTTCGGTACTTTTTGCATCCTATACTTAGCACTACCTTACCTTACCTTCTTAGCAATTAGTGTATTTTTGTGTTGGAGAAGTACGTGTTAACAACTAGGTCTTATAAAATTGGTAATATAGATATTAAAGTTTAATTAAATCCCAAAGACTACATCATCTTACACGATTTCCGGCCCGTTCTTTAAAGCATTAAGGTGTTGATGATACATATTAATAAAACAATATTAGTGTAATGTTTGAGAATTAATATACAGATAGTATCCGCCGTAATTGTTCGTTTATTAAATAGTAATGGTAAACAATCTGATGTTAATATTGATAGACATGTTAGAGTTGATGGATAGTTTTGAGTATATCTAATTTACGATTCTGACAGATCTCGCAGTCGAAGCCCGCGCCGGCGTTCGTATTCGCGCGGCCGCTCGGGCTCCCCTCGTCGCTCGCCATCAGTTCGCCGCCGGTCGCCATCGGTGCGTCGTTCGCGCTCGCGTGAAAGACGTAGCCGATCCGATAGCAAGGGCAGGTAAGGTTAAAAAAATATGTAACATTGAGTGCATTGGTTTTAAAACCAATCAAGTAACACTTACCAGAAACAGAAGTGTAGGTATGACGGACAATTTATATTAGGTCTGTGTCTGGCCTGTCTAGGTTTTTCTTGGAGACTACAGCCAGAGGTTTTTAAAAGCACATATTGAGGGTTTTTATGCATAATAGTGAAATGATCAAATGACACACCGTTATTATGGGTGATAATGAAATGCTGCACCGCCTTCGCTAACAGTTTACATTGGCGGGGCGCCAGTGGAGGATGATAAAATGAACATGAAGTCAGGTCAGTTAGCCTATCTTGGCAAATGACAATTTACAACGTGGTGGTAACATCTCTGGCGTTGCTGCCGTCTATAGGATATGTTTACCGTTTACCCTTAAATGACCGTATGTTTTTTTTGTCATTGTTTTGATATAAAAATGAATTTTGAATAATTGTGTGTATATGTATATGTATAGAGTTCATATTAAAATAATATTTTACTTTCCTGATACCTGATTATTTTTTCTGAATTGAAATAAATTTCAATTTAGATACTGTAGTTGACTCTCCTATATTCTATATATTTTTTGTTTCAGATTCTAAATTATGGACAAGGATGAACAAAGAAACATGTACAATATGAACTGTATTATAATGAATGGGAATGAAAGTGAATTGTGTTTGTGTGTAAGTTTAAATATTTTAAAAGTAACATTGCTCGGAATTAATTATCTATAATGGATGACTTTTATTGCAGTTCAGAGAAAGTTCTGATATATCTATAAGCTATGTAAAGCAGTGTAAGCACTACACGTAACAAATTATAATTACACTCGATACAAAGATGTTTGATAATAAGAAAAAAATGTTTACCTTCAGTGTTGTTTATTGGTAGGCATAAATAGGCATCTCCGTACATTTATCCTGTTAAAGTCATCTGGTATTTAGATAAATTTGTTTTCTCCACTCATTTGCAAATTTGCTTTGTATAAAGTTTACTGCTTTAGGTACGAATTGTATGTCGCTAATTATTCATAACTTAATCACGTATTTAAAAGAATATATGACAATTCTATAATAAATATAGAATTATAAACACCGGTGTTTTATTTATTGTTTTTAATATTCATCTAGAGTTGATACGACGCAATGACAGGATAATTACAGGCTGGTCATAAATCTTCAACAACAATTTTATAATAATATCTCGGCACAGCGCCATCTAGATCCAAGCTAAGCTGGGCTTGTGTTATAGATACTAGGCAATAATATAAATACATACATAATATAATAAACATAGAAAACGCCCAGACCAATACAAACAATCATAAATACAATGTTTGCTGGAGGAATATTGCAGTGGTTGATATGTTTTAAATTTAAATAAAAAGAATATTCAGATTGTATTGTACGTTGATTTTAATAGCGACGCCACTGAATGTTCGAGAAGGAGTGCAAAATTGTATATAAAATATCATCGATGTTCTGTGCCTGACGTTCGAAATTTGAAATTTGAAATTTTATTTTTAAATAAAGTAAAGGGCTATTTGCGATCGCAAACATACAATGTTTGCACCGTGCGAGGAACAAACCATCGCCCATTGTACCTGTAACTGTAAAGCCCAATTTACACTCAGCCCGAGTGGGCAGGGAAGTGAGCAGCGTGAGAGTGTAAACGATACTTCCCATGCTATTGGCGCAGCCACTCCCTCTGCCCGGCGCTCCCTCGATTGTCGGTTTTTGGTGCGCGAGTCAAAGGACTGGCAGCGTGTGTTTACATTCAGACCTCTCGCTCAGTTGTCGCTCGGCAATATTTCCAGCAGCGCGAGTGGCAGGGGAAGCGGATGAATGTAAACGGGCTGCTAAGCCGTTAGACCACCGAGGCAGTCTGTATATGAATAATAAAATAAAAACAAGAATTACAAACAAGACAATATATTATAAAAAATAATTAACATCAATATTATTTTTATTAAAAAAATATTTTCATTTAATATATTTAAAGAGATCTCATAAAATTCTTCCCATAATATTGAATAAATATTATAACAGATCTATATAATTAACAAATATATTTACTTGAAACCAACTTTTTAAGTACTTTATGACTTGCCTACCCACTCCATTTTAATCTACAAGTAGTATAGGTTTTCTATAAATTTTATACAGTTCTTAGGCTTTCGACATATTTCATAAATAAATATTTGAACGTAAAAAAATAATAATTTATATTGGAACGTTAATAATGTAATTCACTAGTACACACTGTAGTTGTATTAACTTATAGAGACAGTTCCTTTAATATAGTAAAAGTAGAAAACATGGAATAAATTAATAACAAATAGTAATAATATTCCCAGGACAATTCACACAACGCCATCTAGTCCCAAGATAAGCTAGCTAAAGCTTGTGTTGCGGGTACTAGATAACTGATACAAGTACATAGATATTTTTTTTTTCGTAAATACATACATATTATACATGGAAAACAACCAGACCGACACAAACAGTTATACTTGGGGGGAAGGGAAGGGATTGTTAGTAATGTGGACTCATGACTCCATTACTAGCAATGTACCATGTCAGTTGACCTCCACGCGGTTCCCCCTGGAAACCATCGTTATAAATTCCTGGTGAATTCGTCAAAATGGGCTAACTGACCTGACCTCATGCTCATCTTATCATCCTCCACTGGTGCCCCACCAGCGTAAACCGTTAGCGCAGGTGAGTGCACCAACCCATTATCATCCATAAAAAAAAAAAAAATTATACTCATGAATACAAATGTTTGTGCCGTGCGAGGAATCAGACGAACCAAGACGAACATCAGACGTAAAGCGGTGTGCTAGACCGCTAGACCACCGAGGTCGTCAATAATATATTCTGTCCGAATATTTTGCAAAAAAAACATTGGTTAAATTTATATAAAATAGAACAGTCTTTTTACATAAATTTTAATTTAGTGATTCATGATAATAAAATATTTTTTATGTGTTAGAAGATTAAATTCGTTATTGGTTTTATTTCCTATGTAAATCATTTGTCCTTCAAACTAACAGGTCTTTGCATTTTTCGCTTAAAGAAATCGAAATAAATATAAGTGCCGACAACTACGAATACTGTACCGCACACATGTAAATAAGTTAAGTTGTTCTTAAAAACTATAGTAGATATTAAAAGTGATAAAAATTTCCTTAGCGTTAATATAAAAGTTACGGTCACAGTCGTTTCCTTAGTGGCCAGTTCGTGGACGGAGTATGTACAGTAAAACTGAGATACAATGTTTAATGCTACCAGTATCCATAAATAGGACGACAGGCTCAGCGCTGATTCCTGAAGTTGAGGATATATTCCAAGGAAGAATGGGAGTGGAATAGCGTGCGTGTAGAAAAGCATCTGAAAAAATATTGTATTAGAATGTAATGTACAAAATGTTAGAATCCTTGCCCAAAGTTTATAGGTGGCATATATATAGAGCGCTCGCTTTTCTGCGGTTTCACTTGCATGAAATCTATAGCCTGTATTATTCTGATGTTTATAAATTAGTTGCTATATTACTTCAAACTTTCATCAAAATCCGTTCAGTAGTTTTTGCGTGAAAGACCAACAAACATCCATACTCTCCGTCTTTCGCGTTTATAATATTAGTAAGAAGTTTAAAAATAAGAAGAGATAAAATTTGTCATCAAAATTAGCCTTTTTTCTAATTATTTAAATGATGTTGGCCACGTTTCGTTTTCGTCTGACGAATAAGTGATTATTATACAATGTATTTATATATGATTTTTTTTTTCGGACTACACTAATGGTGGCTGAAGCAACTGCAGTTGCAGATGGCACTCCAAACCCGCGGAAGGACTTATGGAGCAGCTGTAGGCCAGCTCCCTCCTGACTGATACAACTTTATACTGAGGGTACCAGTGAAATGGTGTAAATAACATAATAATTATATTTACCTCATCAGGATGTTTCCCATACTTTGAATAAAGCATCTCTTGTTGCAATCCAGTAAATGCACCCGTAATTAATGTAGACAATAGTATGGCAACCCCAATACACCAATATATAAATTTGCCTTTACTTTCAACAGTTGGTGCACCTCCATACATAGCGAGGGCAACACCAATGCTTATTAAAACAGATCCAATGGCCTTTGTCATTTTTGGATATTGTTTTTTTACACAACAGTAAACTAACATGCTGGCTGGAGATGAAGCTGATCTGTGGAAGAATAAATTACAGAATAAGAGGCATGGCATCTCAGTCATCTGGAATGGAAACATATGAATATCACAGACTTTAGATGATAGTGTTATATTTCTAGTACTGATCATGTACATAGATGATGGTTATCAACAACCATCAGCTTGTTTTTCATTGCAATTACATAAAAAAATCTATTACAAATGCTACACAGCACTAACTAGTCGCAAACTAAGCAAATTAATAACAACTGATATTCCTACAAAAGATTTACAATTGATAGTAAGTCTGCCATGGGTAACTCAATCGAATCAAATCAAAATTCAATTATGTTTAAACATAACTGCTTAGTCTGAGGATGTTTATTAGGGTTTGAACTTCTGAAGGCATATGAAACTATTCTTAACTCCTGAAACCAGTGAATAACAGGCTCTCTATAATGCTAAAAGATCTTTTATTTATGAGTCCTAGCCTTGAAAAAATATTAGGAGTAAAATTTCAAACTTACAGCAACTATTTTTTTTTTAATAAAGGGTTTTGATTTTTTTAAATAATATATTAAATGACGGCTATAATATTTAGCAATTTGTAACTCAAGTTTAAAAGAGTTTTTAGCCTTATATTAAAAATCAGGGTTTATAAGCTATATGAGAATAAACTGAATAGTCATATTAGAGTTTTAATGTAAAATTGTATAATTCTAATTTATATAGTGGCACACAATCAACTGATACTCACTAAAAACGCACAAATCATGCAGTCCAGGATTACATCTAAACATATTTCTATATATGTATATCCAAGTAGTTTAAAATTTATTATGTTTACATAGTATAAAATGTCCACTGTCTATTCCATTACATCTGTTAAACTATGCAACGGATTTTAATGCAATAGATAGACGAATTCAAGTAGAAGGTTTACATGTATAACACATGTATACCAGTGTGAAGTCGGGGCAGGTGGCTAGTTATATATAAATATGATATACCTTATAATCATATGCAGCGTGGAAGGCACATGCAATGCATATACATAATTGTTGGCAACACTTGTGATGAAAAATAATGTAATCAGAAATGCATACTGCTTCAATGGTATTTTCGGTTTTACCTATAAAGAAACACTTTGAATATTATAATAGATATAGAAGTTACTTATTTTGTAACACATTAGATTTATCGCACATGATCCATGGTGCCATCCCCATTAATTACAACCTAATTTACTTTTTGACAAGCTAGGTATTTTAAAAAATCTGTCAAATAGTTTTTGAAAATGGATAACACATTAAAAACAATTAATCAGTTCTTTCCACTTTATAGTACATACTAAATGCTATACCTTCGCCCAGGTGCTCATAACTTTGTGAGTTTTGTATACTTATTGATGTTTTGTACTTGTACAGCCTGTTACTAGAAATATTGTATTTGAACAATGTCAAATTATTTATCAGGACTTCATGCTTATTATCCTTGAATAGTGCTCCGTTAATTGTATACGCACGATTAACGCAGGTGGATCTACCATTCCAACATCATCCAATTCAAAAAAACAATTAAAGAATTTCTCAATTATTTTCTCATAACTTCGTAACAAAATCCGCTCTTAATATAAAATTGGTATGAATATTAAGTGACTTTTATGCATAATTACCGTGCCAAATTTTGTAGTAAATATAAAACCTTGTAGAGAAATAAAAAAGAATTGGAGGAATGTTACTAAATTGGCACTATCAGGTGTCTTTGCCATTAATATTTCCATAAGAAAAGCACTCGCGCAACACCCGCCAAAAACTTTCAACATATTTTCTATAAATTTCATTATTTAGATACTCAGAACTACCGTTTTTACTTATTATAAAAAAAATCAATATTTAATAATATTTTTAAAAATTATAAATGTATTATATATTCGGCTATTAATTATCATATTGTCTAAAATATAAGTAAACAAAGTTAACAAAACTTTATTGAGCAGATTTGAGCAACGTATCACGTATTGACACACGGATTGACGGAGCGACTGATAGATTTAAATAGATTGACATATGGAATGGTCAGTATTCAGCTGGTGCAGTATGTGATAGACGCCGGAATAAACAAAACAAAAAGTAATGAGAGATATAAAAAATTAAAGATCCCCAAATATGGCGCTAGTTCCAAAGTTAGTTAATCACTGATGTCTAGAATTCGGGGTAGCTCAAACAGCATCCTAAAAACTGTTGCGAATATACCTGATTCTCCGCTCCAGAGGCACTGGATAACGTTGCATTGTGGAAGTGCTTTTGGACACAGATATATGAATTAAATATATCTACGTATATGTATATTATAAGTTACTAACACAATATGGATGTAATCTGAATTAAAATTAAATAAATAAAATATGTTGCCCCAATACTCTAATTTTTTTTGTCTTCTAAATCTTGCCCATATAGAAGGGCTCAAATTATGGTATTTGAGCCCTACCTACAACCCCCGGAGGATGTTACCCCGTAGTCCCAACTCCAGGTCATCTTACACCTTCCTAGGTGGGTGTGAATGACTCGGTTAAGATGCCATCTGTATTTTATTTCCATCGATAATACTTATAAAATAGAGGGGAAGATAATTATTAGTAATGTGGACTGATGATTCTATTGATAACAATGTACCATGTCAGATTGACCTCTATTTTGTCACGATGATGGGCTAAATGACCTGCCCTCAAGCTCATCTTATGATCCTTCACTGGTGCCCCGCCGCGCTAGTGTAAACCGTTAGCGTAGGCCATAAAAGAATAACTATAAAATATACCTGTCGCTAATATACTTGTATAGAATAAAATGTCTAAAATATTATAATTAAGATATAAAATAAAAAGTCTGCTTTATGGGGACCAAGAGCAGCAATAGTGATGTACAATGTCAGGACGACCTCCACGCGGTCTAGAGAACATTCTTTAGTGTATTCGTAACGATAACAGATTCGATCTAACTTGTTCGTATTATTATCCTCCACTTGAGCCCCGTCAGTGTATATCCCTATAGCGTATACCTACCTTCACTGCCACTAAAAAATTGTAAGATAGAGGTGAGGAGAGGGTAGTCACAGAGATGAAATTTCGAACGACGTTATACATTCAGAAATGAATAGAGCCGTCGAGCACAAACGTAGAACAACCGACGTGAACATTGCTCGAAACGCAGCTTGATTTTGATAAATCTACTATTGTGAACGTGTTGATTCTTCAGTCCGTTGGGTTGAGTTTGTCTCGAATGGTCGTGTTTGCGTTGCCGTCTCTTGAAAAACGAACGTGTCGCGTTGTTCGCGTCAAAATGTTTCGATGTAAAGTTTTACATCAAAAATCTTAGTGACTTGGATTTAACGACTGATATTTTGTTTTTTAATTTTAGAATTACGTGTTGTTTCATATTTTGTGCTGTGCTGACGAATACTGGGCTTAATAATTACAATCGAGTGCACAATGCAAACGATTTTGAATTTTATGCCTACGTCTTGTGTGTGTGATTTGGTACTGTTAAAAACATGTTGTTAGGATTTGTTGTGTTTTCTCTTCTAGTTTTTAATACCATCCAGACAGGTAAATGATTTTATTTTTTAATAAATGTTTATTTTATTATTTATTTGGAGATTGATAAATATCGTGGCGGTATGACGTGTGGTTATTTTATTAGCTTGTTCAAAATATAAAAAAAAATGCCCTAAATCCAAACCGAAAACGAAACTCATCTTTATTTTTTTTTATCAATATTACTATTATTATTTATAAATTAGGAACTATTACTTTTGTCATAAAAATAAATATATATAGGTACTTATACCTCTCTAAAAATATATCATTTTTAAAATGACAAAATAGTAAGGTAGGTACTTATATAAAAGATTTAAAATTACACTAAAATTTCCTAAAACTAATATTAAGTAAACTACAAAATGTGAAAGTTTGTTTGTTTATTTGCTTGTTACCGCATGGCATGGCGGTTTGACGGCATAATTAATCGTTATGAAATTCGACATTCATGTACCTAGTAGGTACAAACCTACTGGTTTTATTTATGACGATAATGGAATGGTACCCTCCCTGCACTAACTGTTACGCTGGTGATGCACCAATGTAGGATGGTAATATGAGCATCAGGTCAAGTCAGTTAATCCATCGTGGCAAATTTTTTATTGTATTTTCTAACAGTCAACCATTGTTAGTGCAAAAAAAATTGTTGGTGCTGCAAAAAATAATCAAAAATAAAATAATTTATCACGTTGGTTTCCAGAGGGAACCGTGGAAGTTAAACTGACATGGGCCATTGCCAGCAATAGAGTTATTAGTCCACATTACTAACAATCCTTTGCCCTCAAAAACCTGCTGGTTAGGTAGGTAAATGTTCGGTGTGTAGGAATCAGAAGGACAGCCTATCACACATAGAGTACCTTCACGGAATTCTTATTCTTCTTCGGTTAAATCCTGGTGAATTTAATATAAGAAACAAGCTACATAGTAATATTATTATAAGTTGTGTAATTCAAATTGATATATCTAACTTACCTAAATAATGTTATAAATGGAATATGTGACATAAAATAGGTAAATGTTCGGTGTGTAGGAATCAGAAGGACAGCATATCACACATAGTACCTTCTCGAGGCTATAATAATAAATAATATATTTATTACGCCACAATCATATACGGGTCTTAAATATTTTTTATAAACAATTTGTGATTGTCTGCCTGGGAAGTGACCTAGGCACGAAGCTTATATACCTAGTTAAGCCAGTAGCTGTTCATGCACGGGATGTTCATTGAATGTCAGACCTCGACATCTATGCATATAAGTATACTGGCTTTGAAAAAATCGGTTGAGTTTATCGCTAGTTCTTAGTTGCAAATGTATACTAAATTAGACGGTAGTGGAAAAAATAATAATACAAAAAACTTGACGTTCATAAGCGGGTAAAATGTTCTACATGATTGATTTTTTATTTGATTTGATATTAATTTATAGATAACTATTGTTGACGTGACATTTTTTAATGATTTGATATTATTCTATTAATCAATAGCTAACATGACGTTTTTAAATAAAACATTAGATACTATCTAATAGGTCTTGAAGATAGTTTAAAAACTTAAATTTTGCCTTAATGTGACTGAAACCGGCCTCGGTGGTCTAGCGGTTTAGAACGTAGCTTTACTTCCGATGGTCACGTGTACGATTCCTCGCACGATACAAACATTTGTATGACTGTAAAACATTTGATTGTATTGTGTATAATTATATAGAAATCACCCAGACCAAATACAAATGTTATATTTTTATACAAAAAAAATGAATCTAAGAAATTTATATCTAGTATCTATAACAAGCTCTGCTTAGCTTGGGACTAGATGGCGCTGTGTGATTTGTTCAAGGTTATAGAATAGAATAGAAATTACTTTATTGAAATAAACTTAAGATTTAAGTAGTTTGAATATTCATAGTTATCCTTTTTTAATCTACTTACCGGAAAGCTGTCTCATCACAAGGAGAATATGAAAGAAACTTGCGTGATGCGTGTGTCATTATTATTAGGTATATTAAATTTTGCGATCCATGTCAAAAGCATTGGCAAATGGCATAAAATCATAAACTATGATTGTGTGCCGCGTGCGTCATCATTTTGTAAATTTTCATTGTGTGGAGTAAGGAGAATGAATGCATGTAAGAAATCGATAGAAGTTCATTGCAGTTCATATAGTAAGTCTAAGATATTTATTACGAATCCGATCAATAAAACGTGAACAAAAAAATATTTTCAATACATCGTGTTTACTTGAAGTATTTTGTATACAGGTGTCCCGTAAGTAGTGGACCAACGGATTATGGGGGGTAGTGAGACTTATTATCTGCCAAAACTACTAAATTTCATAGTCCTAAGTCTTGTAAGTTACTAAGATATGCTTAGTTTTCAAAATGAGGTGAAAATATCATCCATGTAAGCTAAATATGAAATTCTACCATACTTATATGTTTTTTATTTTATTGTTATTTTTATTCAAGGTAGTTAAGAATACATAAGTCTTACTAATTAAAATGATATTCAAGTATATTGAACAACAACAAGAAAGTTAGAACATAAACTAGATGCAAACTTTACGTTTAAAAGTTTTCTAACTGAAATTTGAACAAAGCTGGTGTAAAAAAATGTATCGTAATGTTTTGAAACTATATTTTAAATACATCTACATTTCATACTAATTCCAACTATCCACTACTTACGGGTACTTATCCTGTATAATGGAAAGAAATAAAAACATTAATTCAGTCAGTGCTTATAAATACTATAGTAACAAAATAAACCGCAACAGATGGACTCGTGGTCTCATTACTAACAATGTCATCGAGGTTAAATCCTGGTGAATTTAATATAACAAACAAGCTATATAGTAATATTATTATAAGTTGTGTAATTCAAATTGATATATCTAACTTACCTAAATAATGTTATAAATGGAATATGTGACATAAAATAAGTCCTTATTGTGTTGTAGTTAATAAAGATAAATACATTATGATTACAAGTTAATAATACCTACGTAATTGTTACTTTTATTATGTAATGTATATTTGTTACCTACCTTCTCATAATTGTTTTTCAAATACGCACTACCAAAAAGTGGAACACACTTCCACCTTTCGTGTTCCTATAGAAATACAAACCCGGATTCTTCAAGTCTATGGTGAATAGATTTCTTCTGGGTAAGCGCACTACATCTTAGGTCTTGCCATCATTTTCCATCAGATGAGATAAGACCAAGCGCTAAAAGCACACTAACTCTATAATATAGGAGATATTATTTTTTACATACGGAATATGTTCTGATTTAGCACGGAAAACTTTCAAAGTTTTCCGTGCTAAATCAGTCGAGATAACGAATTAAACACATTTTCCTCAATTGCAGCAAATAAAACTTTAGTTCTCCTAGTACACTAAATCAATTTGCCGCCAGTAAAGAATTTTGCCTAACAAAAGGTAGGTTAACCATCAAGCTGGCAACACTCCAAACTCTTCAGTAGATAGGTAATTCCCCAGCGGCGGCGGCGTTCGGGATCGATAATCTTAATAATTATTTATAGACTGAAAGTATTCTGTAAGTTCCCGCAAATCGGCGTCAGATATAACATCAGGTACGTATTTTGTAATGGCAAAATAGCTGATGATCCACTTAATGTCAAACAACCGGCGTCTATATACACGAATAGCATACAATGAGAGGACAAAGATAAATCTGATGTGTTGCCATTTCTGAGAATTAAATTATTATAGCTGTTTACTTTGTAATTTGTAATTTCACTGCCTTATCTCGCCCTTTAACCGAAACAGATAAAAGAAGTTGCTTAGTGGTAGCAATAAACGAGAAAGAGATACCTCATGTAGACGACGTTGTATAAAGTCTACCACGGATCTTCAATTCAAACGTGCGTTTAAATACTTCAAATATGTACCTCTGACTGGGGAATTTTAAATTCTGTTAAGTATTTTCTGAGTTTTTCCATTAAAAACAAAAAATATAATAAACAAGGAAAACCTCTGAAATACGGCCATTAATGGTCTGCATCAGGCATGATGACGAGATTCTGGACGCCTATCCTTCTTTCCAAATTACTGCCCTACCCTTAAAATGTCGGCAATTCTCTTGGTGTTGCGGGTTCACATGGACGACGGTAATCACTTACCATCAGGTGTACCGCAAGCTCGTTTGCCTCCTGCTATAAAACATAACAAATCGTTCCACTTTACGTTTTTTCTATTTGAGTATTTAATTGAATTAGTGCTAATTGGTGGTTTGTATTCACACACTTAAACTTAAAAATGTAAAGTAATAATAAAATTATTTAAAAGAGCAACACGCAAGTTTCTTGCTCGTTCTTCTTGTGATGAGACAGCTTTCCGAATGAGCGGTAGATTAAAAAATGTAATGACTTCTAAAGTGCTTCAATGTAAGTTTATTTGAATAAATGATTTCCTATTCTATTCTATTCTACGTCAGTTCAGAAAACATACAAACTCATATACTTTTTTCGCTATATGTCGGTTGAAACCAAGGTAACGCCGTGACATATGTAAGTAATAAATGTCAACATGATGCAATTACAAGTAAACCTCTTGGCTCGTTGACAGCGACAAGAATCATTACAAAACTAGAATTTTTGATGCTAATCACGAACGCCAGCACCTTATGCTACTATCTAATGACATTTGCGTGTGGTCCATTTTTTTAATGAATGATGAAATGTTGTCAACGCCTTTGATAACGGTATTCGCGGTATGGATGTAATGTAGTTGGTGAGAATGAAGTCAGGTCAAATTGACCCATGTGGATCACCTGATTCTGATCCTGACGTCCAGGTGGATGTAATGTAATAATAACGGTTTCACTTGGATGTAATGTAATAATAATCAAACTCCATTCTTCGCATTTAGCTTCTCGCCTGTGCCGTTGTGTATGTAGAGCCATAGGATTCGCCTGCAAATTATGGTGGTTCATTACCACCAGGGTTTCTTGGATATTGACCTCACAGACCAGACAGTGATACAAACAT